ATGTAACACGATCTATAAAAGACATTAGCGCCTGACACGTGATCACGAAAGCACCATTTGGAAACGATAACTTCGATGCAGGACACGCGGTCAACTACACAGCAACCTCTCGAGCTTTGCGCCGGCAGTTTCTCATGTCATTTTCAAGCCATCAACAATGACGTTGTATGGAATAAAATGTGCCCGGACTACAGAATGATGCTTCACTTCCCACAGGAAACATATAGATGCCCGTGACGGCAGTCTGTGCCGCATAACACAGGCCTGACTACACTGTGCGTTTTCTGCGTGCGTTTTTTGCGGCTTTGCGTTTTTTGCGTAATATCGTGCTAGAAAAATAACGAAATTACGCTTTTGTGATGTTTTTTTATTGATTTTTTGTTAATATATTAGTTATAATAATTTTTGCATACACTTAATGTAAAATTTATATTATTGATAACTTTTTTCTAGAACGATATTACACAAAAAACGCAAACCCGCAAAAACCGCACGCAGAAAACGCATAGTGTAGCCAAGCCGTTGCACAGCATCTCCCTGTGACCCTCAGCTCATCATAAACACGCTTGATTGCATGCTTAGCGGCACAACTTACCGTTCCAGTCCACTGATAGTTTCTAAGGAGTGGAACATCGCTTTGTAGTCAGTTTTGCACACTGACAGACCGACTCACTGTTTTATATAACAGTAGCGATGTCAGGCATGCTCTTGTGACTATTTTTATCTGCATTATCACATGATCCCCGTTTTTTGCAGTTGGCCGTGCCCCCCTGCCATACCGGCTCTGCTTTCATGTTCGCTTTGTCATTCCTTGTTATCGGATTATCTGTACTGCTCATCGTTCTAGGCATACCTGAGGATCATATCACGACACGAAACGGTGGGAAAGGGAATGTGATATGAAACAGTGAAGGTGACGGCTGTTGTGTTGTTAAACATCTCCAAGGGTGGGTACGGGCAACCTCTTCATATATTATTGGAGCTGGCTATTGCTGTATGCTGGGGGAGGGGAAAGAAAGAATAGGAATTAACCCGCGACCTGGTGGGGGGGGGGGCTATTTTTTGCCCCCCCCCCCTCCAGACTTTTCGATATATCTCCAGAACCCCTGCGCCGATCGTCACCAAACTTTCAGTACCCTCCCGGACATCAATTTTACACATTGTGACCAAATATTTTTGCAAAGGCTATAATAGGTTGGCCGGAAATGACGTCAGAGTGACGTCATGTTCTGCCGTTTTCGACCCAAAAAAGGGTTTCGCGGGAAGAGCTGTCAGGCCTATAGCTTTGCAAATACAGAAAAATGATAAAGACATTAACCCGCGCCCTGCTGGGGGTCCTGGATTTCCACGCCCTGCTGGGGGGGGGGGGTGTTCAAACACCCCCCCTTCTAACTCGGCTCCTGGGCCACGTAGCGATACGCGGAAGGCGGCGTTCGAAAGAGCGTAAAAAATAATGACGAAATTACTTCGGTCAATTTTTTGGTCAGGTCAAAGGTCAGGTCACCAGAGGTCATTGAAGGCAAAATTTCGCCGATTTCCAGGTCGAATGTCGACAATTTCCAAGAAGCCAACGCATAACTCAGGAACCAATAGAGCTACAGCGCTGCGGAAAAGCGCATTCGATAGCCCTATTAACGCTCTTTCTGAGTAATTCTCTCAGATTTGACCTAGCGTCAACGGTTTTGCCTGCAGGGGGTAAAAACTGCAAAAATAGCCGATTTTTTCGGAAACAGTTTTTCTGCAATAACTTTTGACCCAAACCTTGTACGAGCTTACTTTTACCGGCATCGTGTTCCTCTCGTCAAGACGCATCGAATGAACTATAACTTGACCTTGAAAGGTCAACTTGAAAATTTGACCTCAGGTCAAGGTCATGACCTGACCGGAAAGGGTCATGTTGCATATCAGTCGATCCGTATCGTCGAGCTGAACACATCTAAGGCGTTTTCATCGCTCTAGCATGCCTCTATCAAAAGTTATTTGCGAAAAACTGTTAGATACCATTCGTGACCTAAGATGACCTCAGGGGCATAACCAGGGGTCACGGACACCATTTTCATGTTCAATGTGTCTAAACCACTTGTAATTCAGTGTTTGGGAGTGTTTATAATGCTTTTCGTCCAAAAGAGGCGCATTTCAATTTTCTCCCATTGACTTATAATGGGGAGGTCGCAAAATTGACCTGACCTTAGGTCATCGATATCAAAATTCTGAGATATACATTTTGTACATGCTATTGCTCTTAGTAATCGCTGAAAGTTTCAAAGCGATCGGTCACTCGGTGTAGCTATGGCAGACATTGAAACTTTTTATGAGGTGAGGTCACTTCAAGTGACCTGGTGACCTGACCTTGAATGACCTTGGTCTGAAATTTTCACAACATGTGTAGAATTGATGTATGATAAGGTGTACCAAAAACGGCGGCGCTCCGCGCCGCCGTTTTTGAGATATCCGCGAAAAACCACAGGGGGGGTGTTCAAACACCCCCCCCCCAGCAGGGCGCGGGTTAAAAGCTGTAGATTGGACAGGGCTACAAAACTGCTATCTCGGATTTTCGAAATTTTCGGATTTTGACCCCCAAAAATAAAAAAATAGATTTTTTGGATATAATACTCGAAAAAATCCAAAAAGTTTTTTGAATTTCGCAAAAACCGGAATATATGTGATAGTCCTTACCGCCTTCCAACAACATACCAAATTTGAGATTGATACCTCTTTTTTTGGCGAAGTTATAGCGAAAAAACTGTTCAAAATTGATGACGTCAAACTTTCAAACTCAATTTTAAGCAATTCTAGACCCCGTAGCGCAAAACAAAGACCACCATTAGACTCCCCGTGACGAGCTGCATCGAATCAATACCCATTTTATGCAAAACTATCAACTTTAAAATTTGACCTTTTTTGGCCTGACCTTGACCTGACCTTGACCTGAACTTCACCAGAAAGTGACCTAAGCCGTACCTGATAGTCTTATAACCAACACCATTGAGTTGGAAATAAATTGGCCATAAAACATGTATCACACAACCTTAGTAAAGTTGGGCTCATGTGACCTGACCTGTGACCCTTGGTGACCTGACCTGTGACCTGACCTGGTATTGCCAGTGACCTCTAATAGCAACATATCTACTAGGCAACTGACGCCCTACCGCTGATTCTCGACAAAATGCGTTTTCCTCAGTGTTATAGCGCATTCTCTAGAAGACCCGTGAACGGTGAAACATTTCATCTTTGACCTGACCTGTGACGTCATCGGTGACCCCGAGGTCAATGAAATTTGGTTTCCCTCGACAAATTTGACAGGCCTTTCGAACGCCGTTTGAATTTTGCGGATCCGTCCAGAACATAGTTTCGGAGATACGAGGGTGGGGGGCAAAAAATAACCCCCCCCCCCCCCCACCAGGTCGCGTTATAAACAGACCCCACCAGGGCGCGGGTTAAGAGAGAGGGTGAAAGAGAGAGAGAGAGAGAGAGAGAGAGAGAGAGAGAGAGAGAGAGGAGAGGAGAGGGAGAGAGATAGATAGAGGGAGGGAGGGAGGGAGGGAGGGAGAGAGGGAGAGAGAGAGAGAGAGAGAGAGAGAGAGAGAGAGAGAGAGAGAGAGAGGAGAGAGGGAGGGATAGGGAGGAGAGGGAGAGGTAGTGTGAAAGAGCAGGCTTTGTTGCCAAATGCGAGCCTTAACCCGCGCCCCAGTGGCGGTCTCAGCCAACTTCGCCCTAGTGGGGGGGGGGGGGGGCATATGTTACCACCCACCTCTAACTCAAAAACTAAAAGGGATAGAAAGACGCGGTAAAAAAGCAGTCGATAGCTCTCAATGCGTACGTTTGAAAGTATTTCGGTCATTTTTCACCTTCCAGCAATATTGGGGTCACCAGAGGTCATCAAAGGTCAAAATTTGCCAATTGTCATTATATTTTTCAGAAAACATGCCGCTATCTCAGGAGCTATGGTAGCTAGAAAACGCATGGAAGACCAAACGATAGCTTTTGAACTCTTCTTTTGAAAAGGTCATTATCAATATTGACCTCAGGTCAACGGTTTAGCCTCCAGAGGGCAAAAACTCCAAAAATAGCTGTTTTTACGGAAAGTGTTTTTCGACAATAACTTTCGACTCCAAAAAGCCACGACATTTCTATGGCCAGAATCGTGTTCCCCTCGCCGAGACGCGTCGAATGAATTATAATTTGACCTTGAAAGGTCAACTTGAAAATTTGACCTCAGGTCAAGGTCATGACCTGACCGGAAAAGGTCATGTTGTATATCAGTCGATGCGTCTCAACAAGACAAACACAATGAGACCATCCCCAGCGTTCTATCTCTTTCCAATCGCGAGTTATTGGCAAAAAAAAAACTGTTTGTAGCCTCAAGTGACCTCGGATGACCTGCCTAGAGGCTATCAGCAAAAATGATACCTTGGTCATCACGAGTGGACTAAATCATTGTGATTCTGAAATATTTGGACTGTTCCGATGCGTACACACGGATCTAGAGGCATTTTCATTTTTCTCCATTGACTTGTAATGGAAAGGTCACGCCACTGACCTGACCTTAGGTCACGGATATAAAAAATCCGAGATATACAAATTGTAGGCGCCCATAACAGCATGCAATTCACCAAGTTTAAAATCTTTCTGACAAACACTGCAGGCTGGACATGATTGCAAACTTTTTTTAGGCTTGGTCAGTTAACTTGACCTGGTGACCTGACCTGACATGACCTGGGGTAAAAAAATTGACACATTGTCCAAAATTGATGTACCAAAAGCTACCCTAAGCGGCGCGGCGCTACGCGCCGCGGTTTTTTAGTCACACGCAAAAAACGCGACAGGGTGGTAACATATGCCCCCCCCCCCCACTGGGGCGAAGGTTAAAACAATAACAAGCCTCCTAAAATTTCGGAAGAGGATCTTGATTTCAATCAATATCTTCCTCGGTTACTTCTACGTCCTTTTTAGCCTGAATTCGCCGTCATATACATATACAAAAAAAAGAAGAGAACACCATGATCATTTATGATGGTTTCCGTCTGCGTCTCACCAGGATTACACTCTGTATAAACCGTTTCACAGACGTTCATTCCGGGACTCACGAGATTTGTATTAACCTGCTATCTATCGTGTGTTTGTATAACTTACAGTACCGACCGTCGCCGCTGGCGTGCGCCATTGGCACCACCGTACTGCGTGTTCTGGAGCAGGAGGACCTGATGGCACGCGCCAGGGATGTCGGGGCGCTTCTGAAACGGCACCTGCTGGCCCTGAAAGCCAAACACAGCTGTGTTGGTGAGGATCTGTGTCTTTTTGTTGGTGTTGGTGCTGTTGTTGTTGCTGTTGTTGTTGTTGTTGTTGTTGTTTGTGTTCTGAAAAGTTAAAACACTGTCACATCAGCTGCCTATCAGCATGTGATGATGACTGCTCTTTTTTAACAGCTGTAATATAAGTCACTAAACGTCAAACAGTTCATTACCTGCTTAGTTATCTTGTGCCTGCCCTCATTCGTTTTGCTTTGTGATTGACGGACGTCCCTCTCGTCACTTGTCGGTTAGTCACCTGTTTTCTGATTGGTCAATGTCTGTCTGCAGTCAGACGTCTTGTTTTTTGATTGGCTGTCTCGTGTCTGCCCTCTGACGTGTCGTGGTCTGATTGGTTGCCACACGTTTGCCCCCAGGCGATGTACGCGGGGAGGGCCTTCTGCTTGGCGTGGATATAGTGACAGTCAGCGACCGAAAACCCGACCGACAGGCCTGTCAGTGTGTCGTCTATAGGTGAGAGGTATAATTGTACGCTATGCACTATGCACTATACACTCTACAGGGTGTCGTCTACAGGTGAGATGTATAATTGTACACTATACACTATACAGGGTGTTGTCTATAGGTGAGATGTATAATTGTATACTGCACTATACACTATACATTATACAGGGTGTCGTCTAAAGATGAGTTGTACCTACAATGTACATACAGTTCACTATGCATTATACAATATACATAGGTACATGCAAGGTGTTGTCTAAAGGTAAGCTGTACAGGTATAGTGTTTATCTATTTCAAACAGCCTGCGGTTACACTATACAGTGTGTCGCCTATAGGCAATATTTCATCTTCCTAAGCAACAATATTTGTCTTTAGTACTACCTGAAGTCAAGCGACCGTTTTCGTGAATATCTACCGGGCCATCAAGGCTGGAGAGCTATACCAGGTAAATATGTCATCGTCTCATCTTATGATGATTTTCTAACACAGGCGGCGTCAGTATTCATGAGCACGACGCCGTGGGAAATACGGATCTTCCGACGCTTTTGGCTTAGCACTGCAGTCAAAACCAATTGAATTCGTGATGCCAGTTCCTTCGCACCCGACATGTCTATTTTATGAAATTGGACGGGACTTTGTAAAGCTTGCCACCAACCACCACCTTGCATTGCCAATGGCATGAGTGTCCTGCATTTGAAATCAGTCATTGAGATTCAACGCCCTGTCGTGAATCTATCCGAGTGGGAAACGTGACAGTTGGGCAACTTCATCTGCGTTAGAAGCTTTGATCCTACTAATTTTGTGTGTTATTGATGTTTGTTACTGTCTAGTTACTGTACTTTTAGGTTCACTTATTAGGTACTGTTTGACATTTCGATTTGCGACGAAATGGTAAAATGACTAAGAACATAATGCGCTGAAGCTTTGAATTAAATTCGTTCATAGGGGCACTTGATGTGCGAATCTTATATCTATTCCCTGTAGCTAGCCGTAACAACGAATCTGAATGACCTTTCGCTGTCCTACTCCCTCGTCTCCCGTCTCCCTCCCTTTCACTCTCTCCTCTCCCTCCCCCTTACTCTCCCCCTCTTTCCGGCAGACTGAAGGAAGAGGAGCGGATCATCGCCGCCTCGGAGGGCGAGCACCTGAACGTACTGTACATCACGCCGCCGCTCTGTTTTTCTGAGGAGAATGCCAGGAGCCTGGTGGCCGCTCTGGACAGGGTGCTGACCTATATGGAGGAGAACGGCACGGACATCAACTTCAGGTGAGAGGGGAGAACTTGGGAGGTGGGATGTGTGAGAGATGGAGGGTGAGAGAAAATATGAGGGAAGTTGCAGGGGGTATGGTTGACATGGTACTGTGAAAACTTGGCAGACGAGTTGAGTCAATGTAAAAAAGGGGGGAAATGGCATAGTGGTGCGATTTGAAACAACCCGCTGGATGTGACGTAGTTGTTCTACGCGTAGACAAGGTTCTTTATTATATTGTACATCTAAGCCTCGTGCTTCCAGGGGCCCGGATAGCTCAGTTGGTAGAGCGTTAGGCTTTTAACCTAACGGTCCAGGGTTCGAGTCCCTGTTCGGGCGTGCTTTTTCGTTTTGGGACAGCGATCAGATTACCGTTTCTCCCCCCCCCCCCCCCCCAACGGCCCTCAGTTACGTCGGTCCCATCGGCGTTTAGCTTCGCTGTGAATCTAACAGGTTAAATTTGTTGTGATTGTCCGATGTTCGGGCTATTCACAAAGTCTTTCTTTGTAGTTCGAAGTTTCCATGCCTTCTGGTGTTAACGACTCAACGATAATGAAAACTCTCCTGCCATTTTTAACTGAACGGTTCAACAGCAGGCTAACATTTGTGCCCATTATTTAACAACAAGCTATACCTTATCGCTATCTTCGCCTTGATTCACAGCTCCCTGGGTGCTAGTCTGCTGGAACCCGAGGCGGAACCGGTCGACTTGGCCACCTATGAAGACGTTGACTAAAACCGCTGATTCCTGCGAGCAGCCTCTCTGCGCTATCTGCGCTCTCTGAATCAACCAGAGATGCAGTGTTTTCTTTCCATCTACAGACTTTATCTGATGAAATTTGAAGCTTTTCTACGGTGAAATGATATATTCTTGGAAAAGAAGGGTCGCTGGACGCCCAAGAAGTGAATCTCAGCCGCGCAGAGTATGGGAAGGTGTATTTATAGCGGATGACATATCTCGATATTAGGCTAACCATGTCGGTATTTTGGTGAATAAGTTTCTACGTTACACCGCTGGGCGGAAGAGCTGTGTTCTATTCCATAAAAGTGATGCTGCGCTAAAGGTCACGCGCGGATGACGTTACTTGTCATGTAGTGACATCAGACTGAGAATGACTCAGTGGCGCAGCCAGGATTTCGTTTCGGGGGGGTCATCGCCTCCAAAGCGGGCCCCCTAGTGTGCGGGCCCCCCACTCATTTTTCAGAATCTCTCCATATTTCATACACATTCTTCTGAGCGGGCCCCCTTTACCTGCACGATAACCCTGAGCGAGTATGAATCAGAAAATTTGGATAGAACAATAGCTCGGTAATCACCCGGTGTTCAATTTTTACGCAAATTGACCACAACAGAAATATGTTACTATGACGTGTGAATTCGTATCTTTCGAGGCTGAAAAGTGCCCCTTTCGCAATATGCATAGCATATATGCAATCGGAACTGTTGCCTGATTCTGTCGGGCAAGATTTAAGTAGGCTCATATGCCTGTCCTAAGCCATCTATTGGCTGCTGTAGTATGTAGATTATGCCATTATTATTCTTCATTGCGTGAATTCGCTCACAAAAAGTTTTAACCCTCGCCGGCACAGGGGGGAGGGGTTGATGCACCCCCCCTAAGGTTTTTTCGCGAATAACTCGCGTAAAAAGCGGCTGATCGCGACGTAACTTTCAGCACCCTCGCGTTGATCAATTTTACACCTACCTACCCTAGCCCGCGCCCCGCTGGGCTATTCAGCCATACGCGCCCTGCTGGGGGGGGGGGGGCAGATTCTGCCACCCCTGTCTAACTTCCGAACCGATGGTCGTAGAAAGACAGGGAAAACGGCAATCGAAAGCTCTCAACAAGGCGGATCTTAAGAGCCCAATTTTTTTTGCTTAAGTAGGTCAGAGGTCAGGTCAAGGTCAGGTCAAGGGTACAAAATGCAAGTTTCTACAGTATCGGCCTTGCACCGTAGTTGCCGAAGAATGGACTGAGACTGATTGCCCAAAACGTGTTCTTAGACTACCAAGACAATATTCGTTGCACACAATGTCATTCAAAGGTCAAGTTCAAGGTCAGGTCAGGTCAGGTCAGGTCACCAAAAACAAAATATAGAAAAGGGCATGTGCGACACAGGTTTTATGGGTCATTTTACTCATGGAATTCAATAGGCACACTCAATAAGTGATATGGACCACCTCTGGATGAATTTCAGGTCGAGGTCAGGTCAAGGTCAGGTCAAGTGAGGTCAAATTTTGAAGTTGGTTGTTAAGGTCTAAAAAGGTGTCTATCCGATGCAGTTTTTCACGGCGAATCGAATGGTGCTATTTTTGTTTCCGTACAAGGTCTAGAACTTCCAAAAAATCATTTTTCAAAATTTTTGTGTGTCGTGACGTCATACAATTTTGAATAACTCCCACATTTTTGAACCGATTCTTCTAAAAATTGGTATGTAGGTGCACATAGCCCACTTCTTTGACATATATTCCGGTTTTTTCGATAAACTCAAAATTTTGGATTTTATAAATAATTTCCCAAAAAAGTCAGTTTTTTGGAAAAATTTTGGTCAAAATCCAAAATTTTCAAAAAACCGAGATAGCCATTTGATAGACAAAGTAGAATCACGTATAACCTTTTTTGTTACGCCTTGATTCCTTTAAAAATGAAGATGTTAGCGGCATTTGAAATTTTGCCGTTTTTGAGGCGAAAATGGCGAACATGACGTCACTAAAACGTCAATTTCTCAAAAATTTTCTGACGGATTTCGCTCAAATTTTCAGGGAACGTGTCAAATTGATGTATGATAAGGTACTGAAAGTTTGGCGTCGCTGGCGTAACGCGTTTAGAAGTTATTGCCGAAAAACGGGAGGGGGGGGGGCAGATTCTGCCCCCCCCAGCGGGGCGCGGGCTAGATATTTCATGACCCTGACCCAAATGACCTTTGACCTACTTTCCGAGACCATGTTTGGCCAGAATCGCGGTTCGGCGTATGCCGGTTCGCATTAGCCGCGCGTCTGCAGTCCTTTCGTGGTTTCAAGCGTTCAAACATGTGATTTGATGTTGCTCCCATGCATAAGGGTGATGTCAATGTCACCTGAAGGTCAGGTCAGGTCAGGTCATTGACTTATGATGACCTCGATACACTTTTCCAAGCAATGCATGTGTCTAGGCTAGTTTTTTTTAAAGCTGAATTCGATTTTAGCAACCATTGGAACATTTAAGAAGTAGTTTTGGTGCCTTCGTAACATTTTACGCAGCTGTCAGAGGCGGTTGACACGTAGGTACTACGAATACCCGGCAGGACCCCTACTGGTTGACGTGACCTGACCTGACCCGACCTGGCCTTAATGCATGACGACATCATCTGTCATCAAAACTAACATAATATTCGTGATCAGCACCCCGACAAAAACCCTATAGCAGCCACATTTTACGACGTTCTAACAGGTCCCGATTTTCCCGACATTTGGGTCATTGACCTGACCTGGAAGGTCAATCAATGACCTAGGACATTGGAATTGGGTATTATCGGCTTCCTCTCGTCACGGGCAACACGCTCGTTTTTTTTCCGCGAAGCTCTAGCTCGATCATGGACCAAACGCGAGAAAGGGGGTCGTACCCTCCCTCCCTTGTGCCGTCGAAGGACGCAAAATGGCCTGAGCCGGCGAGGGTTAACGCGCTCACATGGTTCATGTATTGCCTTGGGCCAGGCTTGTTGTGGTGTGGTGATGTGGTGACGTGGGTTCTGTCTGTCACCGTGGTCCCGGCATGGTGTTATTTATCCCGGGGTAGGTACAGGCCAGACCGTTGCACCTACATAGTGCGCTGAACTTTGCGCAACTTATAGAACAAGGATGGGGAACGTGCCTATGAGGGGTCTCAGCTCGATCGGGCCGGTGGTGAGCACATGGCGCGTGCTCAAAAAGTGCAAATTCGCGTCATAGACTTTACATGTATAAATCGGCTTGCAAAATTGGGCGAAAATGGCTAAATTTGCCCGACACGGGTCCGGTCCCCGTGCAGTATCTCGGTAACCGTGGGTCCGATCGGCATGGGGAACACAGTATCGTATATGAGGATCGAACGGGCAATCGAATGGTGTGCGGTGCAGGGATGACACGCGCCACGTGCACCCGTGAGGGCACTTATGCTTGAAAAATTGACGTTTGGGACGGATTTTGGACTTAATGCTATTTTCGGGTGACTGTCAGACGGAGCGGGTTCAAACAACGCCTGTTGGCAAGAGAAATGTACCGCCTCTCAAGGAAAATTTGTGAAAAGATAATTGATCAAAACAATGTGGAACAAATCGCTGGAGAAAATGGTATTTGTTCATGACTTACTTAATTACACGGCTTTTGCTGCATAACCTGATCCGTTTGACAATTAAAAATGGCATCGTTGGAAAGAGCATTCAATTTTGTCCAAGATCCAATCATCGCTTTTGCAAGATGAGCAACAGTATTCTTAAAAATATAATTTTTTTTTTCAAACCTCTACATGGCAATTCATCTATGGTTCTCATTTTTCAATGACCTACGTCAACCTATGCTATAAAATACACTTGGCAAGTTCTATAGTAGACTTATGGTTATCAGACACGAGCACCTCGATGCGATGGATGTTTTTTCCCAAACTAAAATGCTTAGCCGTTAAAAGACAACAGACCGAAATGTATAAATGGCCCACGGACACAAGATCAACCAAACGCCCACCGATCGAAAATATCCCTTATTCGCGTTGCGGAGCAAGCGGATCACCCTAGCGGGCCCCATCCACCCGGGGGGCCCGGCCCCCATCCACAGGGGGCTGGTCCCCGTCCACACGAGGGCCCGGGCTCCGTCCACCCGGGGCTCCGGGCCCCGTCCACCTGGGGCTCCGTGGCCCGTCCGCCAGGGGCCCGGGTCCCGTTCTCCCGGGGGCCCGGGTCCAATCCACCCGGGGGTCCGGGCCCTGTCCACCCGGGCCCCGACCCTATCCCCCCGGGCCCGGGCCCCGTCCACCCGGGGCTCCGGGGCCCCGTTCTCCCGGGGACCCGGCCCCATCCACCCGGGGGCCCGGGCCCCATTCACCCGAGGGCCCGGGCCCTATTCCCACGGGGGCCCGGGCCACGTCCACCTGGGCTCCGAGACCAGGCCCCGTTCTCCCGGGGGCCCGGGTCCAATCCACCCGGGGCCCGGGCCCCGTCCACCCGGAGCCGGACCCCATCCACCCGGGGCCCGGGCCCCGTTCTCCCGGGGACTCGGCCCCATCCACCCGGGGGCCCGGGCCCCATTCACCCAAGGGCCCGGGCCCTATCCCCTCGGGGGCCCGGGCCACGTCCACCTGGGCTCCGAGACCAGGCCCCGTTCTCCCGGGGCCCGGGCCCCATCCACCCGGGGGCCCGGTCCCCATCCACTCGGGGGCCCCGGGCCCCATCCACCCAGGGGGCCCGGACCCATCCAACGGGGGGCCCGGGCCCCATCCACCGGGGCCCGGGCCCTATCCACCCGGGGGCCCGGACCCATCCAAGGGGGTCCGGGTCCCATCCACCCAGGGGGCCCGGGCCCATTCTCCCGGGGCCTGGGCCCCGTCTCTCTCTCTCTCTCTCTCTCTCTCTCTCTCTCTCTCTCTCTCTCTCTCTCTCTCTCTCTCTCTCTCTCTCTCTCTCTCTCTCTCTCTCTCTCTCTCTCTCTCTCTCTCTCGAGCGGGCCCCTGGCAGAAATTTCGGGGGGGTCAGCTGACCCTCTGACCCCCCCCTGGCTGCGCCACTGGAATGACTCAATTTTCCTAGCATGAAGGCAAGGCCAGTTGATGAAAAGCGTCACTTTATGATTGCTTTGCGTTTTTTCGCTTGAACCAAATGTCCATCGGGATAGGTATGTAAGTGCTGTTTGGATATGATTCATTTTACTACCATTGGAAACTGTTATTGTTCAGGGTTAAGTTCGCAACGCGACTTTCTTTATTTCTTGATATTAGCTCATGTTAGCAATGATTCAATGTGCTACTGAGATGCTAAATCCAACAGCGTTTTGTGTTTTGCCGTTTTCATGTGATGTGTGACTGTGAGGAAGCGTGCTTATTTTCGTGCATTATGTCGTTATGAATTATGAAGAAAAACGATAAGCTAAAACATAATTTCGACTTTTGTTTCGTTAAACTGGGTTAATAAAATACCGCCTTTCAAAAATACTCGCAAATTAACATCCTTTTTAGACCTCAAATTATGAACAGAGTTTTTGCAGCTTCTTTCTTCAGATATATCTCTGACCCGTCACTGAATTGCTCATGTGTTCATCGTCATTGTTTACTTGACAACGCTGTCACAGGCCATTGCAGCCGGATAATGTAAGACGTGTGCTTCCCTGTCAATACCTGATACCTGCACAAAACAAACTATATTTTGCGATCTAACGACGCACGGTGTATCCTCAAGTCAAACCTTTTCTACACTTGAAAAATAACTGATGTCGCGGTGTTGTTTGTCTAATCGTGCTCAATGTCGTCATATAATGTCAACCCATGTCCACTATCTCAGCGGTTTCATGTCAATTTTTTTCGGCTCTGTTAGGTGCCACGCTGGTCGGTGATAAGTATACCTTTTTATGTAGTTTCGCAATTACTTTGTATTCTGTCGATGTCACTTTTGATTGATTTTCCAGTGTTTCTACAGTGTAGTGTTCTTTTCCAACCGAAATAACTATATTTGTTGTTTGATGTTAGTAATAATCACTTGTCAAATGTTGATTCTCATCTAACCATTTGTCATTTTGTGGAGTTATTACTCGTCTGCTAAATGTCATCATTTATGCCAAAAATCAACTGTGGATGTCTTCTGTCTATTCCAAATGTAGGTACCCGCGAAAAGTCGGATTCTTAAAAGCCATCAAGTTAAGAGATAAATGCAGCATACTTGGAACGAAATTGCGCCATGGACGTGATTCAAGACGACCCTTGTTGTATCTTAAATGTTTTGTTTAGACACCCAGTAGTTCGTAAAGTACTTAACATAGTCGCACACCAGTAGCAATGTTTGCTGTCTGTCTACATAGCGAAATAGTGAAGAGCACAGCTGTACTATTGAAGTAGAGACCCCCTAATTTAGACGTGGAGAGACGCTGTTTCAGGGACATCAGTGATAAGATGACGGTGTGCGATGTGGCGCTGTGAGCATGGTTTTTGATGTGGTTCGACGTGTGAACACTGAACGCGCGTTGTTTAGGATGTTCTTCGATGTAGGAGTGCGTGTTGTGCGAGTCTGGAGTGTTTGTTCTTATGTTTGTGTACGGGACAATATATACAGCATAGATGTCACATGTTGCATTGAACGTCTGCTTGTTGAACTGGCAGCGCCCCTTTCTCACGTCATGCTACGTTATTACGGAGCGAGCGAAGCGAGCGGAGTCTTACGTAGAATAACGGAAATTTCTGAGTATGAGCGGCCGGCCGGCCGGCCGGCCGGCCGTGGTCACGATTCTGCGATGCTTATATCTCAGCAACCACTTGACCGATTTACACGCGGTAATTTTTGTAGGGTAGCTTCATTCCTTCTACCAAGTATTGGACTATTCCCGATGCATGTGGGTGACCCCTTATGCACGTGCCACGTGCAAAACGAAGAGGTGTCACTTTTGTAATTGTTGCAATATCTCGGTAACTACTTGGCCGATTGCGCTGAAAGTTGGCATTGAGGTAGGCACCCACTAGGCACTGCATATCCATGTGCCAGAGTTGGGGTGCTGCTGCACGTGCGCACGTGCAGGGGTCGATTCCAGATCTCGAGAACGGCTGGACCGATGGCGCTCAAATTTGGTACATGGCTAGGGACCGGTTAGTAGGGTGCCGTGCAAAAGTCAGTTGGGACCCATTTTGCACGTGCGCACGTGCAGGGTGCCGCTTCCAGATCTCGAGAACGGCTGGGCCGATTGTGCTCAAATTTGGCACATCGCTAGAGACCGGTTGGTAGGGTGCCGTGCACAAGTCAGCTGGAGGTACCCCCTCGAAATTTCGCACGTGCAAGGCTCACCCTCTCGCTCGCTCCGTTAGTCGCCCCAAAAGGCGTTATACTGGTTTTATTATCCTTAGTAGTAAGTTGTCAATCGTCACGACCACTGAACCAATTTCGTCCTGTTTTCTAGCGTTGGAGAGCTTCATTGTCCCTGAGACTCCATCCTCCTGTCTGCTATCATACCGTTATCGCATGTCATCTTCTTTAGAATGTGCAGTTTCGTGTAGTTTCTAAACCTTTCTGTCTTACTTATGGGAGTACTGCTACTTTTTCCGCACCGTTCCGACTTTCGCCGTTGTATCTATTTCCTGTGTCTTCTCCGTTTTTTTTTTTTGTGCCGTTTCGGTCACTCCCTCGGTCATTCTATCTAATTATTGCGCCATTCCGCCTTTCCTCAACGTCACCCCGTCTTCTTTCCGCCTCAGTCTGCGCCGGTCCGTCTATTTTATGTTTATTTTCTGGTCGACACAACCAGCGGTCAGTCTAGGGGTGAACAGTTTCTGTCGGGCACCACCCGCGCTCTCGGCCTGTGTCCCAGTGGGACGGGCGCGGGCGGGAGCCGACAGGGGCAGACGCTAGGCAGAGGCGCCGGTCACATTGGCATAGCGCGGCGCCCGTCACAGGCGGGAGGCAAACAACACGGCCGCGCGAGGGTCACACAAACACACTAGGGGCAGCGAACACTATGGGCTGCCCGCGGCGAACACTACAGGCTGCCCGTGGCGCGCAGCATTGACTAGAGAGGCGGTCCACTGGCGAACAAGTCTGTGAAATATTGGTAACATGTCGTTTACAGGATGGCCATATTTCGAGGAAAAGACATTAGAAGATGCTGTGACCGAAACATCCTGTTTAGTTACAGCGAAAACCAAAAGCCTCTGGTTTGGTTGCAAAAGAACGCATTTTCGACATCTAACGCACGGCAAACGGTGAAGCAAGACTTATACTGAACAGGCAGTATTGACGATCGAATCTTGTCCGTGGCATCATCGTTATTTCCTAGACACAGCAACGACTTTACTCTAAGTGTAGCGTGTTTTTCCCACAAGGCACTCGGCGCCGTTTAAGACGACGCTGTTTTCAAACACACACGAAAAGCTGTTCAAAAAAGGCCCTACCTTAGGAGCCAGAGATATATGCAGGTGGCTAAGGCTGGCATACCTTTCCCTGGCACTTCGGTTTAGACATCATTCCAAAATACTGACCCAATAGGCATCCACTCCTTAGGCATGTGGGGCCCCCACTTCATGCCAACAGCACTCGCCAGTACGTTCATACACACGCATACACACAATTGCGAAAACGCACACACGTAAGCACTTTCTATAACACGCGACACACGCGGACTCTAGCGGACGGTTGAGGGCGAAAACACTCCTGGTTAGTCGACTAGTAACGATGGCAAATTCGCTGCCGAAAGCGCTCAGCACTTGGTGGTCACACCGTGAGTAGCGTTAGTTCTAACGCGTCTAACATACGCCGGGGCGTACGCACGCACAGCATAGGTATGCCACGCACTCATTTGCATGATACGCCGCGCACGCTGCATTCGTCGAATGCGCGACGTTTATACTCCGCGGGGCCTCAGAAGACACGCTACATCGCACCGGAAGATCTTCATAAGCGATGTTCGGAGATGATAATCCACGTGCTGAACGCTGAGATATTGTACCACGCAGCGTATACGATGCGTATTCGGCGTATGTAGCGTGCGCACTGTGTGTTCACCTCAACACACGTAGATCCACTCCCGCATACACAGAGCCTCTTCATTGGCTCATTCAATCACACCAAGCAACGTTAGCTGCAAGCACAGGCTACCTGAACACACCATCTCCGTCGAAGGCACTTGGTAATGCCACTTCGTTGTTGTGAAACCTTAGGCACTTTTAAATCAAACATCAACACGATCTTTTCTTTGTCTTCTTTATGGTGCCCTACTGTGAGGCGTTCGCACCACTGGCTGGCGGCTAGGTAGAAATACACCACAACAGGGTGTAGAAATACACCACAACAGGGTGTAGAAATACACCACAGCAGGGTGTAGAAATACACCGCAGCAGGGTGTAGAAATACACCGCAGCAGGGTGAAGAAGTACACCGCAGCAGTGTGTAGATTTACATCCGGGCGTGGTGTTTGCAGAAGGGTCGGCCCTGCTTGGCGAAGAAGCTCTGTCCTTCCAGGTTGTTGCCACATATCTGCAGACAGAAATAAAAACGGTACTGTCAGAGAGCGATATAGTGACAGCTACGGTAGTGGTAGGTATAAAACATTAAATTGATCGTGGCTTAACCCGCGCCCCGTTGGGCTCTGCCGAGCAACGCGCCCGGTTGGGGGGGGGGGCCATTTTGGCCCCCCCCCTAAGATCTCGAGAACCACGCAACATAGCGACAAGCGGTAAACGGCGTTGGATAGCCCCGACGGGGAACTACCTTGTGACCCAGTTTTATTGACCTAGGTCAAACCGATGACGTCACAGGTCAGGTCAAAGGTCCAATTTTCACCGTTTACAGGCACTTCAAGAAATGCGTTGTAAAAACGAGTAAAATGCATTTCATTGAAAATCATCGATGGGGAAATGTTCTTCAAACACATATTTTGCTATTTGAGGTCACTGATACCAGGTCAGGTCACAGAGGTCAGGTCACGGGGGGTCACAATATGAAAGTTTCGTGTGATACATGTTTTATGGTCCATTTTACATGACAAATGCGATTATATGGGTCAGGCAGCCTTTGGGGCCAGCTTAGATCACGTTTTGGTCAAGGTCAGGTCAAGGTCAGGTCAAGGTCAGGTCAAATTAGGTCAAATTTCAAAATTAATATTTTTGCATAAAATGGGTATCGAATCGATGCAGCTCGTCACGGGGAGTTCAATGGTGGTCTTTGTTTTGCCGTACGTGGTCTAGAATTGCTAAAAATTGAGTTCAAAAATTTGACGTCATCATTTTTGAACAGTTTTTTCGCTATAACTTGGCCAAAAAACGAGATATCGATCTGAAATTTGGTATGTATATAGAAGAGCGCTAGGACTATCACATATATTCCGGTTTTTTCGAAATTCGGAAAAATTTTGCATTTTTTCAAAGTTTTTCCAAAAAAATCAATTTTTTGATTTTTTTTTGGTCAAAAACCAAAAATTTTGAAAATCCGAGATAGCAGTTTTGTAGCGCCGCTTTTTGTCTACTAGACCATATAAAGAACTTTGAAATTGCTTAATAACTGTAGATTTGGTGAGCGTTTCAAGATTGCATGTTTTTTGCTCATTTTTGCTCGAACATGACCTCAGTTTGACCTCAATAACTCCTGACCTAAGGTGACCTAAGACTTGAAATTTGGTGTGAAGGTGTCAAATTGATGCCCGGGAAGGTACTGAAAATTTGGCGGCGCTGCGCGCCGCCGTTTTCTTGCTATTCAGGAAAAACCACAGGGGGGGGCCAAAATGGCCCCCCCCCAACGGGGCGAGGGTTAACAACTCCGGTAAGAGCCACGGCTGCAACGAATAAATGCATGCTTATATTGGGATGTATAGTCGACTACAGAATGATGTTCCACTCCTCAGAAGCTATCAGTTGACCGGAGCGCTAAGTTGTGCCGTTTATCACGCAATTAAGCGTGTCGATTGTGAGCATTGGGACAAAGCTATAATTTGTGAACTCAGCCCGTGTGATGCGGCACAGCCTACCACTCCAGGCAAATAATTGCCTGTGAAAAGAGGAACATCATTCTGTAGTTGACTATACCTACAATTGCCAGGTTAACGCGTTATTTAGTTCGTTGTCGCAAATAATTATCCTGATTGAGTACAAATACAGCAAGTTGAGTGTGCGATTGGGATGTGGGCCGGATGCCTAAACTTCTCGTCACTGCGCTGTAGGAAATTTGATTCACACTTTATAAAGAATAGCTTGAAGCCTGGATGATCGAAAACTCAGAAATCATTGCGTAAAAACCCACGATCCGCCCCTTGATCGATTGAACACACCATCAAATGCAGTACCTGCAAAACATCCGAAGAGAAAAACTCAAAATAATGTGAGTTTACGCTAGAGTTTATGGACTATATTCCTGATCGTCAAAGTGTTGAAACATTGTGTGGATGCTATCGCATGCTTCTAGGCATTAAAAGTTTAGATTTAGGTACTAGTGCGATATATTGGTGGTTATAATTGTGTTTACTATATCTAGAACAAAAAGGTGTTTTATGATATGGTAAACAAATCCATTTATGCGGTTTATGTACAGTTAACACAGCTACGAAAAAAGAAATTGTTTATTATCACGGTAGGTACTAAATGAGCACTAAAACAATAACTGTAATAAAGCCATTGTGCGCACTGCATTAAGATCAAATAGCCCTATCGTTCTAGCAATTTGCCAGACGTTGATCTACTTTTGGACTATATTTGGACTACCATTTAGGCCATCTATAAAGCATGTCTACCAACTATAGGCAACTCGCTCGACTATAAGCGCCTTACCTGCGCTCGGCTGGATCAGCCATTTTACAGACCGGCGTGGGACTTGCACACGGCTCGCCCAGCCTTCGCATAGAACTGGGCGCCATCCAGCGTGCACCGACACACCTATGAGGGCCCGCAGTAGAAGAAGAAACACAGCAGAAATGCAGCAGAAACAGTCAGCGGTTAGCTAAAGGGGGCGCCACCGGCGCAGAAGGTAGGGAAGTTTGATGAATATACAGCACAGCAAAAGCACGGCAGATATAAAGGCTGAATACAGAAGTCAGAAAGAGATAGTTAGCTATAAGGGGAAACCATAGGTTGAATGAAAGCAGCATAAGAAATACACACCTCAGAAGAACTGAAGTTAGCTATGCATGAAAAAAAAACACAACGACCAAAAAAGAAATGGAAATTTCGAAAACGATATTTCCAAACAAATCGCAGTATGCATCCACGAACGCAATTGGCCACAAGTGATTCACACCATCGTGTTTTGCATCACTATAGCTATGCGTTTCTACGCATGACTGAGCAAAAATATAGGTACCTACTTGCAAATGGCCGAAAGTACGTAGATTTGGTATCTGGGATGCAAAACACAAATAATATGCAAATATTGATTAATGTGACTTTTTGAAATAAAAAAGAATCGACCGTCGGTCACCTCCGTCAAGCATGGCCGTCTGATTTGAGCGTGTACCCACACATAGGTAGGCTTCACCATAATCAAATGCGTTAAACGCTGGAAGGGGTTATACAGAAAGCTGATAGTTATGTGCGAATGTAAATAAAACAACTTTCAAAACTGGACAAAATCAGGATGCACAAGCTAGGTAATAAACTATAAAAGCAAACCAGACATTCTTACCCTTGCTACAAAAACTGTCCGTGGATTTCCCCTAAAATCCACTACGGACGTGGTAGATTCTACCACACAGCGGTACGTACCGCGCATTTGAAGCATTGCGAGTGGAAGTTTTTGTTGAGAGCCTCCACCCAGCGGTCTCCTGCCTCGATCGGGAACCCGCAGCCCACGCACTTCGTGGTGAACAGCTCGTTCCAGTCTGCGGATAGATGGAATGAGAGTGAAGACGTTGACGAAGTCAAAGACTGATCAGCAGCATTTCCCACATGTTACTAGTACCAAAGAAGATCCCAGCAGGGCTCAGTGGAGCTCACCGAATTCTCCTCGCAGCATAGCTCACCGTTTTCAAGTACAGTTTCTGTTGAGAGTACTGCGCGTCGGTGCGTCGGATCCATCAAGCCTTACCGACGAGAAAATTGTACAGCTAACCGTACTCAAGATTGACAGTCCTAGACCAGTATGGCAGTCCGCTCTTCGACCGTTGTCGCGGTTTCGGCTCCCTGTTCTCGCAGTAGAACAGTCTATTCTTTAGCTCACCGTTGCCGTTATAGCTCACCGTTCTCGCGGTTATAGCTCACCGTTCTCGCAGTACGGCAGTCCGTCCTCGAGGAAGAAGGCCGAGTTTCCGAACAGGCCTCCGCAATAAGCGCAGGCGAAACACTCCGGATGGTAGGATTTGCCGATCGCCTTCAGACAATCCTAAAGGACAAACGGACAGTCAGCCATTAGACAGAGAGGTGTGGGCAAACGGATAAATTTACTGTAGACGGCCATGAAAACAGTTGGACAGGGCATCCACCCGAAGACTTTACATGTCTTAGCAGTCATGATCCTTCGTTAACAATGCAAACATTTAGGCACGAACGGATGATGCGTGATGACGCAAAAGCCAGTAATAAATATATGATAGAACAATAATTATTGTCCGAAATGCGCTTGAGTCAAATGAGACGACCCATGACTAAAAACGTCCCGAATCGTTGAACAAAGAAAATGAGCAAAACACCCGTACTCCATCCCTACTCTCCGTAGCCAGGAGCCTGCCACTAATAGGGTTAAAATTCCCTATATTTATACACCAGTATAACGCCTTTGGGGCGACTAACGGAGCGAGCGAGAGGGTGAGCCTTGCACGTGCGAAATTGCGAGGGGATACCTCCAACTGAGTTGTGCACGGCACCCTACTAACCGGTCTCTAGCGATGTGCCAAATTTGAGCACAATCGGCCCAGCCGTTCTCGAGATCTGGAAGCGGCACCCTGCACGTGCGCACGTGCAAAATGGGTCCCAACTGACTTTTGCACGGCACCCTACTAACCGGTCCCTAACCATGTACCAAATTTGAGCGCCATCGGTCCAGCCGCTCTCGAGATCTGGAATCGACCCCTGCACGTGCGCACGTGCAGCAGCACCTCAACTCTGGCACATGGATATGCATTGCATAGTGGGTGCCTACCTACATGCCAACTTTCAGCGCAATCGGCCAAGTAGTTACCGAGATATTGCAACAATTACAAAAGTGACACCTCTTCGTTTTGCACGTGGCACGTGCATAAGGGGTCACCCACATGCATCGGGAATAGACCAATACTTGGTAGAAGGAATGAAGCTACCCTACAAAAATTACCGCATGTAAATCGGTCAAGTGGTTGCTGAGATATAAGCCTCGCAAAAGCGTGACCACGGCCGGCCGGCCGGCCGCTCATACTCAAAAATTTCCGTTAATTACGGAGCGAGCGAAGTAGGTAGAACCAGTATAACGCCTTTTGGGGCGACTAACGGAGCGAGCGAGAGGGTGGGCCTTGCACGTGCGAAATTGCGAGGGGGTACCTCCAACTGACTTGTGCACGGCACCCTACTAACCGGTCTCTAGCGATGTGCCAAATTTGGGCACAATCGGCCCAGCCGTTCTCGAGATCTGGAAGCGGCACCCTGCACGTGCGCACGTGCAAAATGGGTCCCAACTGACTTGTGCACGGCACCCTACTAACCGGTCCCTAACTGTGTACCAAATTTGAGCGCAATCGGTCGAGCCGTTCTCGAGATCTGGAAACGACCCCTGCACGTGCGCACGTGCAGCAGCACCCCAACTCTGGCACATGGATATGCAGTGCCTAGTGGGTGCCTACCTACATGCCAACTTTCAGCGCAATCGGCCAAGTAGTTACCGAGATATTGCAACAATTACAAAACTGACACCTCTTCGTTTTGCACGTGGCACGTGCATAAGGGGTCACCCACATGCATCGGGAATAGTCCAATACTTGGTAGAAGGAATGAAGCTACCCTACAAAATTTACCGCATGTAAATCGGTCAAGTGGTTGCTGAGATATAAGCCTCTCAAAAGCGTGACCACGGCCGGCCGGCCGGCCGGCCGCTCATACTCAGAAATTTCCGTTAATCTAAGGAAAGACTACGCTCGCTTCGCTCGCTCCGTAATAACGGAAATTTCTGAGTATGAGCGGCCGGCCGGCCGGCTGGCCGTGGTCACGATTCTGCGACGCTTATATCTCAGCAACCACTTGACCGATTTACATGCGGTAATTTTTGTAGGGTAGCTTCATTCCTTCTACCAAGTATTGAACTATTCCCGATGGATGTGGGTGACCCCTTATGCACGTGCCACGTGCAAAACGAAGAGGTGTCACTTTTGTAATTGTTGCAATATCTCGGTAACTACTTGGCCGATTGCGCTGAAAGTTTGCATGTAGGTAGGCAGTAGGCACCCATTAGGCAATGCATATCCATGTGCCAGAGTTGGGGTGCTGCTGCACGTGCGCACGTGCATGGGTCGATTCCAGATCTCGAGAACGGCTGGACCGATAACGCTCAAATTTGGCACATGGTTAGGGACCGGTTAGTAGGGTGCCGTGCAAAAGTCAGTTGGGACCCATTTTGCACGTGCGCACGTGCAGGATGCCGCTTCCAGATCTCGAGAACGGCTGGGCCGATTGTGCTCAAATTTGGCATATCGCTAGAGACCGGTTAGTAGGGTGCCGTGCACAAGTTAGCTGGAGGTACCCCCTCGAAATTTCGCACGTGCAAGGCTCACCCTCTCGCTCGCTCCGTTAGTCGCCCCAAAAGGCGTTATACTGGTCTAAGGAAAGACTACGCTCGCTTCGCTCGCTCCGTAATCACAGGAAGATAACTGCAGTCTTCCATCATCAAAGCCCACAAGGCACAAACAACAAAACCAACCAACCTAACCATCCACCTACTGGTGTACCCTCCTGTTAGAACAGCCATAAATCATCGTTAAGATTGGGTAGCGAAGGCGGGTTCAGGGCCCTCCTAGCAGGAGGGCACGACATCCACCCGCACCCAACATCCCCCTTACGTACCCCCTTGATGCGTTTCTGGCACTTGAAGCAGATGGGCGCCAGGCTGGTCTCCCAGCACTTCTCGCAGTACGTCTGACCGTCCACCTCTACGAAACCAATGTGCTCCAGCTCGCAGCGGCAGTTGGGGGTGGCGCAGACGAAACAGGCCGGGCACCAGCACTGACCCAGAGCCGTGATAAACGGGCCTCTGTAGGCGACCGGGGAGAGGTCAGCGGCAGGGGCGGCGCCAGGGGGTCAGCGGCAGGGGCGCCGCCAGGGGCGGAGCATGGGGCGCGTCAAATGATGAACAGGCCGGACACCAGCACTGACCCAGCGCCAAGATGAACAGACCCTTGTGGGTGACAGGGGAGAGGTCAGCGGCAGGGGCGAGTCCAGGGGTGGGGCATGCGGAGGTCACTCAGAGGCTGGTGCGGATTCAGGGATGGGGCGGAAAGGGAAAATCTCTAATGTTTGGGTAGGGACCCGTTCAGGATGAGGCACGAGTAGGGCGAGCTTTGTGTTCAACGTAAAGGATTCTGAGTCCGAGAAGCGTCCAGTGATGGAGTGCGATATATCTTGAGGTGGGGCAGCGATGAGTAATGGTGTGGAACAGGAGCGATGCATTGAGTTTCAGGGGCGTAATTAACTAAGTCCTCAGATCCAACACGTAATTATCCATCAGTAGCGTTCCAGGCGTTTCAGGGGCGTAACAAACTACGTCCTCAGATCCAACACGTAGTTATCCACCACGAGGTTCCATTCACACATCCACATCGCCATCCACTCCACGGATCCAAATTCCAATCCACATATCCACTCACCGGATCTGATTTCCGCAGGTGTGGCAGACGGGGATCCGCGATCCGGCGGTGGCGGCCGGGTTCATCGTACCCCGGCCGCGGCGCGGGGCGTTCCTCCCCGCCGTCGAACCCTTTCCACCTCCACCACCGCCGCCTCCGCCAGTTCCCAGGCCGCTCAGACCTGGCAGACCGCCGTTGAAGCCGAGCTTCCCCGGGACGCCGATAGATGGTGCTGGTGGCGCCGCCGGCTTGGGCACCACCGGCTTGGGCGCGGCTGCAGGCGCGAACGAGGGCTGTCCGAAGTGTACCTGTTTGGGAGGGGCAGGAGCAGGGGCGGGAGCCGGAGGCGGAGCGAAGGAGACGGGAGCCGGCTTGGGCAGCACGGGAGGCGGAGCCGGCTTCGGGACAAAGGCCGGAGCCGGAGCCGGGGCCGGGGCCGGAGCCGGGGCAGGAGCGGGCGCGGGAGCCAGGGCGGGGTGCGAGACCTCGACGTGGCCTCCAGCGAATGGATGGGGAGCCGAGTCGACTTCTGTAGGCTTCGGAGGCCATGCGAATGTGGTGCCACCTACAGGGCAGGCGGGGAACTGTTACTGCACTACACCACACGCCAGGTGGCGGTGTTCTCAATGAGGTGTGCAAGGTGGGAGGAGCTGACCTTGAGGCACTAGCCAATCAGAGGCCAGAGTTCACTTGGGGGATAGCGCTGATTTTATAGCGCAGAAGGATCGTTTGATTGAATGTCTCCAATGAACGGCATAGGCAATTGTTGATTGGTCAGCTATCAAAGACGTCGTGATAAGTAAACCAATCATCAGCAAGCCTTGTTCATCTTTGGATAGGTATCATTCGGGGACGGCTTTCATTGGCACTGCGCACATCTCATTGAGAACACCACTCGATCAAGCAGCACGACAAAGCAACGACAAAGCATAAAAGAGTGAAGGAAGGCGCGCAAGAGTTGCGCTGAAGTTTCAGATCGCACTTTAGCTACCTATTTACGAGAAAGCACCACAAAGAAGATTCATATCACGTTCCTAAATTCAACTGCATACAAAGCACAGGAATGAGGAAAACGTAGAAACCCCAGTATGCTCTACCGCCTACACCAGATGTTCATATTCCTGCTCAGTGAAGCCAGTGTATCATTTCCTAAGTAACACGTTGCAAAAATATCCCGCGTCTTAATTCTGTGTGAAACCCGCGCACCGACAGGGGGCGGTTTTCCACCCCACCCAGAGGGTTTCCGTAACTAGCGGAAAAAACCACGGTGCATAGCGCCGCAAGATTTGGCATGACTAATTCCACATCAATTTTACACATGGTGAGCAAGTTTACACTTCTTACTTTTCAAGGTCAGGTCACCAGATTACTTTGAATGACCCGCCCTCAAATCACGTTTCTTTTGAGCAAAATGCTTACCTAATTATAAACCAAAGCAAGCTCTCCATGCAAGCTTCCGAGCTACGTGTGGGGATGTTTTAAGCAAATTCATGCAAAGCCAGTCTTGCTCAAGGCTATATAATGGCTTGCTTTGGGCGGTGTGTTGATTAGAGGTGGCAAAAGATGAAAATTTTGGGAACCAGACTCGAACCAGACCCGGCTGGACATTTCTGGAACCAGTCAGACCCGGTCTTAGTTGGAATCGGAACCAGTTGAACCCGTTCCCCAAAAGTCAATTAATACAAACTACTTGTAGGTATCATTAGTTGCATCAAGTAAAACAGCCTATTTCCCACTGGGAATACTCACGAGCTATTGTGTGCGCAAAGAAACATTCACTTCATATTTTGCAATAATGTGTAATGTGCAATATGTATAGTTTATGGAAGGACCCGGTTGGACCCGTCAGAAAATTTCCAGGAACCGGTCTGGACCCATATGGGTCCAGACTGGTTCTTTGGACCGGGTCCTCGGGTCCACATTTTGCCACCTCTAGTGTTGATGCGTGATGCTTATAACCGTCTATGGAAGCTAAAAGTCGAATGAGCTGCATAGATGTCTGAATGGTGATGAAGGATCACAGGATTAGCTAAGCAACGCGTGATAGGATTGAAAAAATGGATCGATTGGAATGCTAGGATGCAACATACCAATGTAGGCCTACACACTATACTGGCAGGAAACAATCTATTGATTGGAGACGATCAGAGGAGTAGGAAACCCGCATAAGAAGAGAATAAGCGATGCGAAGTTGGGATGGAAACTCGGATATTTACACAGATCGCTTATAAGAACGCCAGGAATGTTGGATAATTGGGAACAGTATTCAAAAGGGATCGGCAATATGCATCGATATTAAAGTATGAAAGAAATATTGATAAACCATGGCATGGTAAGCATATGCATTGTGATGACTGATGAGTTAACTTAGCCAAGCATAGCATTATTTGATTTCTGACCTCGACATTAATAATTCATTTCGGTTACATCTCAAGCAACGCCCGTTGGCATACCAGTCGATCGAGCCACGTTCTTAGACTGACAGCTTATCTGTCACGTAACCAATAACCGTGACGGACTTGCGTGACGGGTTGTCAGTATTTCGTGGTCACGTCAAGGTCACGTCACGTCACCTCGCCGTGTCGCGTTATAGCACGTCTAGTTGTAACGTCACGTCTCACACAGTCTATGTAGGCGCGATGTAACATAACTAGAACGTCCTGCTAGAATTCACGAAGGCAGTGACCGAGAATTGTCGGGGTTAGGAGAAAGCGGAAAGCGGAGAGAGAGAGAGAGAGAGAGAGAGAGAGAGAGAGAGAGAGAGGGAGAGAGGCAGAAAAAAAGACAAAGTTACGGATGTGGAGGTAGATGAAGAACGAAGAGACAAGTAAGGATAGTGGGCCGCAGAATATCAGTAAAGGAGATTGTCGAGGAATTGAAATGGAAAGATCGTGAGAATTGGTAGAAACTAGAAGAAGGGAGGATAGGGTGAAGTAGGGAAAATGTGTGATGTGTCCCAGAACAGACTACAATAACTGATCTTATATTGGGTTAGGGTGCGCGGTCGATCATTTTTGCCGAAACCTGAGCTGAAAGGTTAGCATTGTGTGAAACTAGTGTTGTGCATTTATCTCTCCTTGAAGGCCGTCGGTGGTGACTCTCCTCTGCGACCTTCGAAATCGCCTGCCCCAGTTGGCCCGCGCTTCAACGACCTGAATCGCCGCGGGCTATGTCGGGCAGGCGGCCCACTCTTGGCGAGCGACGAGACGAGAGTGCCAGTGGGTGGGAGAGGAGAGGGAGAGAGAGGAGAGGAGAGGAGAGGAGAGGAGAGGAGAGGAGAGGAGAGGAGAGGAGAGGAGAGGAGAGGAGAGGAGAGGAGAGGAGAGAAGAGGAGAGGAGAGGAGAGAAGAGAAGAGAGAGATGTATAGAGAAAGAGAGAAAGAGAGAGAGAGAGAGAGAGAGAGAGAGAGAGAGAGAGAGAGAGAGAGAGAGAGAGAGAGAGAGAGAGAGAGAGAGAGAGAGAGAGAGAGAGAGAGAGAGAGAGAGAGAGAGAGAGAGAGAGAGAGAGAGAGAGAGAGAGACGGAAAGAAAAAGTCTGAGCTCCGAAGCTCTTCGTCCACGACTAAAATCATCGTCATTGTCGAGGTTTGCGTTACCTGCGTTTGATGGAGGCGGAGAGGTGTCTTCGGCTCCCGTATAGTGTGTCTCCCTGCTACATTCGGATGACATCGCCTCCCTCCGCGAAGCCTCGAGACGTTCCCACACTTCATCGGACTGGTCCATCATATCTCCAGCGTGAGGCGATCCTACCGCTTCTAGATGAGGCTCATCTTGGCTCTGATAGGCATAGGCAGACTGCGGCATCGAGTAGGCTGAGCCGTCTACCACTTCTGGTTGAGGGGAAATTTCGTCGTTTTGGTGTGATTCCCATCGTGACATGGATTGTGATGATGTCTCACTCCTGGATGATGATACATGTGTGCTTTGTGAAGACATGCTGGTCTTTTCAGAGTAACAAGACTCAGACTCTTGCATTGTCTGAATTGATGAGGATTTTTCTGTTCTTTCATAGCTCTGTTCGGTTCTGCTATGCAAGGATTGAGTTAAATTTTTCTGCTGTCTGCATTCTTCATCGTCCTCTTGAATTGTGAACTTCACACATTTGCCTTTCGAGTGATCGGATGGCATCGGCTTATCAACGCTATCGCTGGCTGTCTCGGTGTTTTTCGAGACCTCCGTACGCTTTTGAGCCTCTGCTTCCATGATGCGTCGTTCATTTTCCTCTTTTGCCATCAAAGTCTCCCGGTCATCATCAAAAGCGCCTACCAACTCACTCCTTCGATCTTCCTCACATCTTCCCTCATCCTCCATCTTTTGCGGCTGCGTGAGCCCAGAGTCTCTAACCGGTTCAAACTTCCTGACTCTCCTGTTGGGTAGAGGAGAACCGGACCTCACCGCGGCCGCCGTCTCACTGATTAGCTTCTTCTGCTGAGCGCTCAGCTCGCTCAAACTGGGCACGTCAGCCGGTAAAGGCTGCTCGCGACACCACGCCTTGACGTCTCTCTCCATTTGAGCGACCCTTTCCAACTGGGCGCGATACTCCTCCTCACTCGCATCTCCAGCTCTCGCAGCGGCTGCTGTTTCCACCTCTAGTTCAGCTCTACGGCGTAGTAGATGTGGCAAGGGACTTGGTGAGCGATCTCCGCGATCTCTGCCACCCGTGCGACCCTCGGGTAGGTTATCATCACCGTCCCGAGCCCCAGGGTCGCCAGCGGGCGGGTGCCACTCTCGAGCCTCAGGGCCGACGGGCGGAGGGACAAACGGGGGTTGGTGCTTCTCCCGAGCGGCCACGACAGGTTGCAACATGTCGTGAAGGGTGTGGAAGTCTGGTGTGTCGTGAGGAGGTAGACCGCTGCCCGCCTGTGGGTACCAAATTGGACTGGCGGTGGGTTGTTCAGGGTCGTGTGCTGGGGGCCATTTGAAATGGGCGCGCTTGGGGCAAGCTATATGTGAAATGCCGCCTAGGAGTTCGAACGTGCAATGTCCGCCCAAAGTGAGGTGGGTACGTGATAAGTGGCGAATGTGTGAAAATGGAGACCAAAGTTTTATTAATCGTGCGTATGCGTTGCAAAATTATAAAAGGAGGCGAAGGTAATAGGAAAACAATATGTTGCAAGAAAATAAATTAAATCATTAAGGAGTAAACAAGCAAGGCAATTAGAGTACAATATTTCGAAAAACAAAAGACACAGCAAATCGCATGCATGAAATGGAATGCATGCAAATCAAGAAAAGGGAAACAAATGAACAAAAACAATCGCCGCAGCCCCAAAGGTAGGAATTGGGAGCGGCAAGGATGAAAGAAACGACATAGACGTTAGAAATTCTGAAAAACGAACAAGTCTCATAGCCAGCGCCTGCCATAGACTATGAAAAATAAAATGAAGACACAAAAATAAATGAAATTGGTGGCGTAACGCATTCAGTCTCGTAATATATGAGCAGAATGCCATGCAGGTTCGATATTTTCTAAACCTAGCTAAGTGACATTTTTAATTGCTTTCTGTAAAAACCCGTTTGTGCGTTATAAGACAAATAAGGAATCATTTTGGATAAGCGCTGGCCTTTATCTGCACAGACGTTGACATTGGTGTCGAAATAGTTTTTAGGGAGAATCCCATTCATTTTAGGATCAGTGTGTTTTGTGAGGCATTTGCCACTTCCTCACTTTTTCTCTTTATATAGTCACTGAATGGTTCCTCCAATATTGAAGTATAACTAAAATTCGCCGCCACTCATTTTTTGAACATTAGGCTTTCGTTACAAACATATGACAGTGTTTGAAAAATCACTGCGAGTATTACAGTTAAGAGGACGACGATGCAATAAACGCTTGAAGACGGCATATGTGCGTATCTTTGTCTATACTGTGACGATTTGAGGTATTGATATGATCTACTCTCGTCTCTCACAATACTCTTTTCCCAATATTCCTCATTTTATCTTATTCTGTCTTCCTGTGACCTTTTCAAGCATCTTGTCATCCTATTTAAACCTCCCTAATAATCTTGCATTATTTTGCTCTATATCAAATCAATATCAATCTCTACAACATTTTGGAAAATACGCACACACTGAACGCAAAGCACTAAACACAACCACAAGAGTAAAAAATACTCCCGACCCTAACCCGATAGGGCGTAGTTACAGTACTGACCTTTTCTCTGGGGCACATAGCTGGTGTAATCCACTTGGGAGATTCCCGACGATCCCGCTCCGTACAAGTGGGACTTCTGGGTGGACTGCTGGGAGGATTGCTGATGGAACTGCTGCGTGGACTGCTGCTGGAACTGCTGGGTTTGCTGCTGGTACTGCTGCGTCTGGTACGGCTGCGACACGGGTGCCGGAGCCGGAGCCGGAGCCGGAGCCGGAGCCGGAGCCGGAGCCGGAGCCGGAGCCGGGGCCGGAGCCGGAGCCGGAGCGGGAGCAGAGATGGGCTGGTAGCTCCCGGCAGCCGGAGACGGCTGTAAGGGTAAAGGTAGGGTAAGTTTCCGAAGGCACCGGTAGAGAATAGTTGAGGGGTAATCACAGAGCAATCAGGGAGTAGAATAGATAGTTGTCGGAGGCAAACGCTCATAGGCCAGGAACGACAACGGTAAGGAAGTGCAATGTAGAGACGAATGTATGCGGAGCTACACATCAAAACGAGCATTTGATTACGATGTGGTGCAATTTGATGGCAAGCAGCATGAAAGAACGAAAAAGTATTGTTTGTTTGTTTATTAGGGCTTTAGGGTGCGCCGACTACCAAGGTTATTTTGCGCCCAAGAGAACGAAAATGTCAGCATCGTTTTGTTCTTCTGTTTGTCCGTATTTTTTTTTTTTACTTGTATGAGTAAAATTGTGCAAACCTATGGAAGGATTCACCTAGACACGATGAAAATACATAACTTTTAAAGGGACCCTCCCACCTTAACATTAGATCTGAGTTGAGATAGCCAAAATGGGGTCCCTGGCTCACAATTACCGGTTTCGGCACTGACAACATCGAGAAATGCCTTAAATCGGAAATATTGAATTTCAAAATTGCAGCATTTTGATTCCGAGGGGCTAATGCATAGGAATACCCCTCTGAATGTGTGACGTCAGCGCAGATATCTAACGATTTTTAAATGTTTGACTAAAACGTTTTGTAGCACGCGGTGGTATATGCTGCTTTGCGCGCAACAAATGCCGCACTTTCAAATAAAGTCGCTAGGAACAGCGGAGATCCCAAAAAGTAAACAAAATAAAAGTCTAATATCTTGAAAACCGGTGAATATTTTTCGATGAAATTTGGTAGATTTTCGTTTTTTCTCTTTCTGAACCGAGCGACATCACTTTCATGCCAATTCATTAACTTTTTTAAAGGTGGGAGGGTCCCTTTAATATTTGGTCATTATCTTAAAAATATTTCAATCAGGGACGATAGAGAACCATTTACCAGAAGTTTCGTTAAACGAAGGCTGGTTTCTACTGATAGTGTTTTCAATGTTTTTTTTTCTGATAATGGGCATGCTACGGGGACTGTTGAGGATGCGTCTTGATATGGAATATGGCCCAATAGGTACCTAAACGAATTCCTTACTTGAAACCCTCCACGCCACATGGCTTGCGTTTCACTGATCCACTCCACGCAATCAGCGCCACGGTCACTTTACATCAGCCAATCACATCACTCCTCAACCTGCACTGGCCAATCACTGCTGCCGCTGCAGCGCTGACCGCCGCGATCGACAGTGGTCCTCAAACTGAGCCGCACTGACGGCATCTGTCGGTCGCCCTGCTCCGAGGCACGTCGGCCATCTTTGGCACGTGCGTTCGGCGCCAAGCATTCCGTACGTGTCGCAGCCGAGGACAAGTGCGTAGGTCGAGGATGATTTTTGAGTGTCAGCGTATCAAAATGACGACGAAAACGCGCCACAGGGGAGTTCTAGAGATAGACGGCAAGATAATAAAGATACAGAGACAAATAGGCACAATTTTGTGAGTAGATTGTTGTTGATACCACTGGAAAAGGCAACGAGTCATAATAACGAACGAGTCGGAAGTTTGCTCTCATCGAGGAACTACGATGGGCAGCATTGATCGTCTATGATATCTACAACTATCATCAACGTCTCATTTTCGGCATAAATGTCAAACGCCAACTACCAAATCTGCTCTACTACAGTTGCGAAGTCTCCTGCAAATCACGACACCCGTCGAATACCTTCTACATTGGAGATGCCCAGAGCTACAGCAAGCTACATCCTTAGTGGATATGTACTAACAACGCATGCAAATTGCTACAGTCTATCCTAGATACATACTTCATATATCCATATGGCAAACGAAGTATGCAAACACCTTTTGTTACATTGGAAGCTATATGCATCTGCTAGTTACAATTCACTCGCTGTTCCAGGAATGCCAGAAGCTTCCTACATTATTATTGTTGGTAGCTAACGTAATCCAAAAGAGTTTTAGTGCTAACTGAAGTCCAACAGCTACATTATAGTACCGAAACTACGTGACAGCGACAGTGTAATCTTCAAATAAACTATGGGCGGATTTCTGACAAAACATTCTCAAGTAAGTACCGTAGCCTTCGTCGGAGGCTTGGGAGCCTCCACCGGTGGTTCTTTCGGAATAATAACCGACTCAATTTCGGCAGACGCCGATGGAGTCAGAGAAGAGCCCTGGACGTTCTCAAACGGAGAACTCTGCACGTTCTCCGTCGGAGAACTTACAGTGGGCTCAGCATGAGAGTCCACAGGAGGCTTGCCAGCGTGACAGTCCTCAATCTGTGAACAGCCGCCGATAAATTGTACATAACAGTCGCCGGCTATGCCTGTTCGGAATTGATGCGCATCGTGCTCACGCTCGTCCGGCCACAGCCAATCAGAGAGCGCGATAAGATGGCTAGTGATTACGTCAGCAGGCATCATCAATTCACTGACGAGATAGAAAACTAATGACTGTTGGACCGGCTCCTGACGTCAGAATGACGTGGGTTTATATCGTTTGTCGCCGATATTTACACTGGCAACTGGACGAAGATTCCTGTCAAGTTATTTCACTACAGCGCTCCCCATTCATTCGGCTAATGGGAAGTGTTAGGAATTCGAATTTCGAACATTTGTGTACCAAATGGTTACCGGTCTCCTAAGCTATCGTGACATATGCTTCGCATTATAAAACCTAGCTTGATCATCCATTAGTGAAAAAGTGCCTATCTTCTAACATCCCTGAAAACGTCATCCACAACAAAACTGACTCAAGAGATAACAGTGACACATAAAATTATTCTCGTTATGCGTCGTTTTGAAGAGGCATTTACAAAACCAAACATATGTACACACACTTCGAAGCATACTGGAAAACGGGAATAGTTCGGATACCAAAGCACACATGCCAGTTGTACACCACCTCCAGTGGAGCCACCTGGCTGAGAAGCAATGGATTTTTGAGCTGCTATCACACCATCCACACGTCTTGGTCACGCCGAAGGCAGGCATTCCTGGGAGCAGCAAATAATGCGATTGTCTCTACTAAGGAAGAACTCGAAGACACTACGGTGGAGCGATTCTACGCAATCGGCTCAAGGTAAAGCCAAAGCAGGCCTCGCGCTACTTCTACCTCATTGCTGTCAAAACGGGTTGATGTTCATAAATGCAGGGTCAAGCCAGTATTGGCCTAGCTACAGCCAAAAGTACTGGCCCAGCTCCAGCCATCTAACCACTGCAAATACTGATTCGTCTCCAGGCACCAAGTACAGGCGGGTTGATGGTGCCTCCCCAAAACTACTGTTGCGCATTCCAAACAAGCCTCATGACGTCATTCATTCCCGCGAAGCATGACGTCAAACTCCAGCGGAGTCACGCCCAATCACTGGCAGGGGCATGCTTCTCAAGGTCACCGCTACGAGGCGCCACGGGCCGCCCTACCTGGAACCCGGACGCCGATTGGCTGCCCAGCTGTGACGCGATCGCTGATTGGCCGGGGAACTGTAAAGCGCCCGCTGATTGGCCTGGGAACTGCAACGCGCCCGTCGATTGGCCGCCCTCCACGCGGGTCTCGCGCTGGTACATTTTCTGCTCCTGTTCACGTGACTCCACGACTTTTCGTGTGCGCGTGACCGTCGTCCCTCCAACCGTCTCCACCGAAGTAGCCACCGTTTGGTGAGACTCATGAGACTCGTGAGACTCCGCGTGCTCCACCTGAGTCGTGGAACCACCCCCGGCGTTCAGGACGCGTTCGAAGCGATCCTCCAGAGTGTGGCCTTCAGTACGCTGCTGCTGATCGACCTGCTGCTGTTGTGGGAGGCCTTGCTGAACGTCTTCATCCGTCACCAAGGAGGTTTCTTCAGGGAAGGAGACGCGACGCTCTGGCTCCAGCTGTGCCGGAGGCGGTGAGGCCACGATCGGCTGGGGCTCGGGAGACGCCACCGGAGAGGGGACGACCGCCGGCGGACGGGGCTCGGGAGATGTGACTGGCGGAGGGACGACCGCCGGCGGAAGGTCCTTAGTGCCGCCGAACGCGGCCGCTTTGTCCTTGAGAGGTCAAACAGAGGTCAAGGTAGCAACACAGACACTGGCTCCCGGTGAGGTGTTAAGATGTTAGAACATTGACATTAGACTGATATGGCAGAACCAGAAGAATTAAAGTAGCTAGAAACGCGGGTGGAAATGAAGTAAGAATCTGAAGTCACATACACTGCAAAAGAACTGGGCAATCAAAACCAGAGGAGGAGATTCAAACGACTCGTGACGTCTACTCGAGTTTTTAGGAATAATTAGACTTCTTTTCAAAGAAGTTACGTAGCACTAAACTATTAAATACCTTCAAAAACTTTCCAACCATTTTAGACACAATGTCAACAACAAGCGGGAGCAGATTTTCAAAGGTCGCTATAAGAACTATTTCACACAAAATGGCACAAGGTGGAAACAGCACGCCCCACCAAAATTCACATTACATCCGCATCAAAAAAGTCATCGTCAAAACAATCAGCTGACCGTTGCGAAGTCAGCTGATGATCGCCTGGGGCGTCACGCCACTACTGTATACCTTGAAAGATTGTGGGGTGCGGTTGAAAGCATTAAAATGCTTCGTCTCCGTGTCAACTGCCGTCACCAGTTTGACAGAGCCCGTGGACGGGTCTGTCTTTATCATCGTGGCGGAAGTCTGCGGTAAGGTCAAGGTCGCTGGGGTCAAGGTCACAGCAACAGGGGTCATGGCCGCAGCAGGAGGAGAATGCCACACACAAGGGGGAGCAGTCGCGGCAAGCTACTTAGATAAAGTCATAGGTGAATATACATAGAAATGTAGCGAAGAGTATGGTATTTCCAGAGCAGAAATAGTGAGTAGAGAAATGCACAAAGGATCTGCCCCTGTCGCTCCACAGCTCTGACCTCCTCAAATGTCCTCCAATTTGCTCAACACTCCTCCAAACTCCTCTCAGAGCTTCAGCCTCTCCGCCGATTTCCTCAGAGCTCCTCCGCTCCTCCTCGCCTCGTCTCGGGTCTTCTCCATTTACCTCCTAAACGAAAAGCATTGTTTCGTAGGCAGTAATGAATAGTAAAGGTGCATTTAAAGATTCATTCACGCACTCGTTTACTCAAAATGCAGTAAGATTCATAGCAATTTGAAATTTGGATTGATTCAAGCTTAGCTTATTTCAAAGCATGGGTTTGCATTGCATTCACCATGAAATCAGATTTACTCAGTCGTGTTAGCGTTCAGCCAACTTCGACACCGACTCCAACTCCAGTCTCCTCGTCGACTCCGACTCCGACTCCGACTCCGACTCCGACTCCGACTCCGGTTCAGCAACAGCCATGGGCGATGCCGTAATGTTTCTCCTCACGGGGGCTGCACTTATCGTGCCTTAATTACTGTAGTACCGTTTGCTAGTTCTGAAGCTCGAGCTAAGGCCTTGTACCTATCGTGAGCATCGAAGTGTGGTGTGGGGGTTTTTTACCCCCTCTAACTTAGCTCCTAGGTCGCGTGGCGGCACGTGATAAGCGACGTTCGAAAGAGCATAAGAAATTATGAAAGAAGTAAAAGCTTCCTTCATAGTTTACCCCGGACCATATGGGCTATGGTCCGGTCCCTTTTTTACTTAGCCTGTCAAATTGTCCTGATTTTGCATTTTTGGACAAGTGGCTCGCAGCTCTTGGGCCAATATACAGGGCTATAGCATCCCGGAAAATATTTCTTACCGAACTCTTTTAGACATCAATTCAACAGTGTAGCTTTCAGGTAACATAAACCGTAAAAACTGTTATTCTTTATTTGTGCAATTAACTTTGACACAAAGCTTGAGTTTGAGTTATACTGATTGATTTCACCGGCACCATGGTTCTCTCGTCAAAACACATCGAACGAACTATAATATGACCCGAAACTAGTCAAATTTTAGCAATACCTCTATGATCGTTGCTGTCGGTTCGTGACCTTCCGACCAAGGGCGGCGCCACCGTGGGGGCAGTGGGGGGCAGACTGCCCCCACTGGCAAGAGGCCGTGGGGGCAAGACTATGTTTTTGCCCCCACAAAATTTGGCTGATGTATGGGAACAGAAGAACGGTGCAACATTCATTATAGGCGGTTATAATAGTACGCCTGTTTTTGACGGTCCTCGTATCAAGTGCGTCAGCAGAACGTTCGTTCTCGGACCGTCTGTCGCATATCTCCTACTCCCACTCATTCTCCTACTCATTTTCATTCACCAAAAGGCTGCCCTCGAGCTTGATCTCGAGGAGGTTGAGAAGTAGTTTATCAAAAGTCGGCCAGAGAAGAGATCACCCTCTTTTGGGAACCCTTAGACTGAGACTGAGCTCAGAGAGGTATGACAAAATGTGATAGGTATGTATATTCCGGGTTATCTGGAATTGTATGTGGGTCGCCCTAATGGAGCTTGTTCTTGTACCTATATCAATCGTATGTGAGAGAATCGCACATCTATACGTACTACGGGGAAAAGGAGAAATAGGTACCGACTATAGTTTTGAGGAACACACCATTTTACATCTCAACGAACAACATAACGTTTTCACAGGTTTGTGTCTCGCAATCTAGTTTTATAGTTTTATTTCGGCCGGGCCCGGGGGTAATCCTAACCACCGCAGCCCGGGGTAGCCCCCCCCCCCCTGTTTAACTCCGTTAATAAGGCAGGGCAGCTACGGAAACAAAAATGGTACCAAACGAAAAGTATCTATGAGAAGATTCTAAAGCACCTAAACTTTTTGACCTCAGGTCAGTTTTCAAGGTCAGAATTCAAGGTCAAAGGCAAAAACCGGCATTTATGTAGTGGTCTCAAAGTACGTGTTTCCAGAGGACGGCATGGTGCATAAAATCGGCTAAAAGGGATGTTGAACAAAAGAAGAGCATCCGTGGATTCCGATGATGTGCATAACATTCAAATTCAAGGTCACGATCATGCTCAAAATTGACCACAAACTTTGCACTTTTTCTTAATATCTTGTATACTAAATTCCGAGATGTTTTGATATGTTTTCAAGCTTAGCGGACCCCTATTTGTGCCTTAGCTTACGATACAAGGCTGCTACAAGGTCAAAGTCACAAGAGAGTATCCTTGCTAGAGGCTATTTCACTATTCAAGTCAGGCATAATAATTAAGACATGTTTTGCCATACTGAGGCTCTAAATGAATGCTTACAGCAAAATGCATGCCAGAGGCCCAGAATCGTGATCAGCGGCTACGAAATCATCACAAATGACCTTCCATGTGTAAAAAATCAACCAAATGTCATTCGAGGTCACATGAGGTCAACATAAAACTTCACCTTTTCCAAACAATATACATGTCATTCGACGCGTCTCGACAAGACTAATGCGAAGGTACCACTGCCGTAGCTCCTGGACTGGACCATTTTTGTTGAAGTTATTTGCGAAAAAGAAACTAAAGCCCCAGCTCGGGGTCGTTGCCCTGACCTCTGACCTCAGGTCACCAAAGTTACTTAAGTATTTTTTTCTAGGTCAAATGCTACACAACCGTGCTCGTAATTTGTCTTCATCTCTAAAACTCAATTTTTGGCAGCTGGTTGAAGTTCACGTCTGTGACGCCGAAGTTTGCCGTGCAGGAGTCTAGAAAAATCGGCCCTGAGACATTATCAAGGAGGCTAGGTCCAAATTGTTTGCTTCAAAAGATGTCAAATTAATGGGGGATAAGGTACAGCAAGTTTCGTCTTTCTATCCCTAAGCGTCCGTGAGGTATCGCAAATATTCACCAGGGGGAGGCGAAAAACGCCCCCCCCCCTTCCGGGCCCGCGACGGTTAATGGTTAAACTATACGCCTATGCATAAAACCTGAAACCAAAATAATTTTGAATAACAACATCTAGGGACAAGGTGCTCATGGATTTTGCAGATCGGCGTTATCAGACAACAGTCGGGTCAGTCTCAAGCTTGCCCCCACTGGCGAAAATTCGTGGCGCCGCCACTGCTTCCGACTTAATCTTTCACTCTACCAGATTGTCCTTAACAGCGAACTGGTTGACCCAGGACCGCAGGTCAAGAGAACAGCTCATTGAAGGGAAACGTCATCAACTGCAAGGGAGCCAAATTATATTTGGGTCACCACTCTCACAAACACCGGGCACCAATTATGTAGATCTTATTATCAGATCACATCTTGGCTGTCTTTTAGGACAGGGGTACATTAAATTTATCTCCGAGTTGCGTGTTATTTCCACTCCGTGGGCAATTACTGCCTGAGATTTTAATAGACATTCCGGAGTCGCAGCCGAGACAGCTTGTACGACTCTGACTCCGGCATCGACTTCTGACTCGGTGCCACGACATGACTCCATCCGACTGCGACTCCGCTTCCAACTCCGACTCCGAACTCCTGCATGACACACATACGTTTAAGCATAAACGCTCACCCTTTGAGATATTTGCCCTCGGGTCAGTGTTCATGCTGAGATCCGCCAATACTGTTCGCCCTCTGTACGAGTACAGCTGATTATCCATCAAATGCCATTCGGTAACATCAAATTTATACTCGCAACTAATCGTCCAATTTCACTAAGCTTACTAAACTTCGCTTTTCCTGAGGAGCGACAAGGGCAGTCCAAAGTTCTCGACAGTAAAGCTGTACCGTAAGACGGCATTGAAACAAAGTAGTACTGTGACACTACAAAGAGACGTACCTATAGAATTCGATCCAAGTACAGATAAGAAGATAGACGAGCGAAAATACAAACATTTTTTTTGCAATGCCGAAATCAGATATCTGAAGCAATGCAGAAAGTGCGGATGCCATACTGAACTATTCTACGAGGGGAACACTAAAACACATAACACCGCTAAGAGGGGCATTAAAAAAAGAAGAAGCCACCTGCTTCAAGATGGCGGCCGCCTACTCACCGAGCGCATTCCTGGGGGTCCTCGGTTGGCAGGGGCGGCCTGCGGCGCCATTGGTGCGGGCTGCGGTGACATGGGTGCCGCCGGTTTGGGAGCCACTGGAGGCGGCACCTTGGTCTGCTGCTGCGGGATGATCCTGGGCGCGTGCACGCTCGTCTGAGGGGCTCCGTGGCCGTCAGCTGAAATGTGACGTCATAGGTTATGGTGCCTGGTATTGGTGATGTCACTGGTAAAAGTGCTGTCACGTATTTTGGCTGTGTAAACGAGTTCATGATTATAGGATCTAGATAGACGTCAGTTTAGGAATGGTTAAGTGAGGGAAGACTTTATTGTGCTAAACGTATTTTGTAGGCATTTGAAGATGATTATTAGCGTTGAATTATGTTACATTATCAGTAAAAAAATATTACAAAGTCAATGTTAGCGTTTTAGAACGATGTGAAACTATAATAAGAGATGATACACTGAAGTAGCGTAGCGTTCCGAAATATGCACTTCATTAGATTACATATCCCTATCGTGTGATATTAATCGTTAATGCTTGTTCGCTGAAGTGGGTTGCGAGTAAAATCATGAGCATACGTATAGTGTCAAAAGAAGATAATTCATGTCGAGAGAATGATGAGAAGCTGAAACATTTACAATACTCGTACGGTTCGAATAAGATGCTTGAGTTTATGAAAATTCATGCATTAACAGTGGGCATAGCAAACTCGGAAAAATAGAAGCCACAAGCAAGTCCAATTGAAATAGCAGGTCTAGAAAAGGAAAATCGAATGCTGTGCAGCAGTCATATAACATGCACACTACGCAAAAAGGAGCATGCATGGTAGGATTAAAAGGATTTCCATACCTATGCTTATTCGCAATGTTGCAAGCTATTTGAGTCTCCACAGTCTATGTCTTTCAGGAAAAAATTAACGGTATAGACATTACGTAGTTATATAATCATCATTGCCCTGGATGTATATCGTTGTTAGGTAAGGAAATCGTCCTCAGTTCTTTTTTTTCAAACTACGCGCTATCTTCGAATGTCAGCAGCGCCCTCTATACCACCACTTCGCTGCCACCTATCGGCGCCGCCGCGAACGTCTTATACTCACGTTTGACCATCAGTGACCGCATACTGCGCGATTTGATGGAGTTTAGCCCGCTGTTATCAGGATCTAGCGGAGCGGAGTCGACTGCCTCCTCCGGCGGCTCTGCGTGCGACTGCGGGTTCTGATCCATGTCCTGGACCATTTTCAGGACCTCAGACATGTTGCCGTCGTATTTCTTCTCGTTCTTCTTGAAGTCGACGCTGCAGAGGCAGCGGGCGAGGTGTGAACGGCCAACGGGCGGGTTTGGAGAAGTGTGAACGGCAGCTGCGCGGGCTTGTAGATGTGAGAGGTGTAAGAAAAGTGTATTGAGTGTAAGCAGTCCATTGTAGAGTTTTTAGAGGTGTGAAGGGCCGACGAGCGGGTTTGTGGAAGTGTGAACGGCCGATGGGCGGGTTTATAGAGGTGTGAACGGCAGCTGCGCGGGCTCGTAGATGTGAGAGGTGTTAGGAAAGTGTGTTGAGTGTAAGCAGCCCATTGTATAGTTTTTAGAGGTGGGATCGACTAGTGGGTGGCTTTGTAGAGATGTGAACGGCCGACGGGCGGGCTTGTAGATGTGAGTTGTGTGAGGGAAGTGTGTGGAGTGTAAGCAGTCCACTGTGGTCTTTAGAGGTGTGAACGACCGTCCAGTGGGCGTGTTTGCAGATGTGTGAAGGGCCAATCAGCGGGTAAGTATATATGGGTGTCTGGTTTAAGGATAGTTTGTAGAGGAGTTAATAGCCGATGGGCGGCTTGGTAGAGGTGTGAACGTCCACCGGGCAGGTTTGTAGAGGCGTAATTGGCTAGTGGGTTGCCTGGTAGATGTGTGAGCGCCTCCTTGCTTGCTCTAGCGCAGATTGACAATTCAACATTCGAATTCGTTTGATAAAAGCATTGATAGGATTGCAAAAACATGAGAGGAGATGTAAATATTGCCATTATGGTCAGAGCCATGACAAGATCCTCCACAAGTTGCGATCGAAGAATGATATGAAAAGCATGGACTCGGCAGAAACGTTGCAGACTGCGCCTATGTTTCCAACTTTACAACCCAAAATATGACAAAGTAAGAGAACAAATACGAAAACTCACAGAAGAGTGTCAGCTTCAAGAAAAATAATCCACATCATAAGCAGCAAGGCAAATAGTATTCTTATGATTCTAGCAAAACCATTACCTGGGATACATAAGCAAATAAATACCCGTAACACAAACGTATTTGCTTCTACGTTTACCATTGTAATTATTTATAAATGCGTATTTGTTATGCACGTTTATCCGCATATATGATTAATATGTTGTCGGCAAAATCAACCGGACGCGAGGAAACGCAGCAAAGATCCAGTACGAACTTCTGGAATGAAAAAGAAATGTGTACCTGGAATAACAGGGGAAAATCATGTTAATTGTTCAGCACGTTGCAAGAAAGCAGAAAAGGCGAATTTGGAAACCGTCGTGAATTGCAATAGATATTACAAGCCGGCCGAGCAGCCACCCTGCGGATGCCAGCTTTTCCTGGGTGCCCTTTCCTTGAAACGCAAATGAATGCTTCATTTCATACCAACATGTGTCGCACATTCAGCCTAAAAGCAAAAATGTCAGCACTTGCACTACTTCAAGTGAAATCCGACATGAGAAATGACCGTCGAAATTAGCAGCCACGTTCCCGGCCAAGTTCCTTCATTCCACCGGTGTGCCGGGCCAACTAAAGCGCTGAGGGCTGGACATCTGGCCCATAGCCACAGCCCACAGCGACCAGCGGGTACACGGGCAGTGGTGACGAAAGGTGGAGGAAGCGGTCTTGCCATGGTGTACGAAGACACAAGTTGATGACAGTTACAACCGTCAAAAATGCATCACTTTATACTCCTAAACCGAAGTTGCTTACAATGATATAGAATTTAACGTCATTTAACTTTTTTCACTACAATTTTCCATGGCGAAAAAATGACAATTCAGCATATCAAAGTTATGGCTCATCATTCTAGCTCTAGTGGTATCTACTGAAAATACATACTTTTGCGAAAAAAATGAAACATTTAAACTTCGAGAACCCGATCTCATTCCATCAGGTTCACTTTTAGGTGACTCGCTTTTAATTGCGTCTGTTTCTGAAAGAACCCACTTTCTATAGGCATGCCTTACTCCGAGAATAAAATGGGAGCAAGGAAATCCCTTGCAACAAGCCTAAAAATAATACATAAAGTTTACTAGAGTCTAACTCCGCACAGGGGCGTTCATTTCATTGACTCCGCCGGACCAACACTACCTCCCCGTCCCAGACTGTCTTTGACAGTCCCAGCTGAGGGAAGGGGGAGGAGGGGGTTCTGTGTTTGGCACCAGAGGTCAGCGCCTGGCGACTGACCAGGCTGATGACATAGTGGACAGAGGCGGTCTCAGGTCGGTGAAATAGGCGGAGCAGAGGCGACTCCAGGCCAGTATTGTAGGAGAGCAGATTCGCGCCTTAGATACCAAGTCAAGGTGATTCACTTAGTGCCATGTATGAAGAAACAGGGGAGAACCATAGAGAATCGCAGTGTACTCAATAATCCGACATTACGAAGAGGCTCTCATTCTGGTTTTGACTCCAGGTGGGTTGAGTGCTGAGGTATCCCCGAGGCTCATCCACAGCATCTGTTACCCAGATTGTCGTAAAAGGCGTAGTATTGCACTTAATGCTAGGCCTAGCCGTATGCCGCTGCATAGTCAAAGCGTCTGCTCTCGATAACTGCCACAAACTTGTTTGGAACGTGGAATACGCGGCCCAGATCCGAAGACATATGTGACTCCAACAACCACCCGCGTTAAATATTAGCATGACACAAGTTGTGATTTACGCTGCCTTAATAGTTTTCTGTTTTGAAATAGCACTCACTTTTCACCAATTTACCGGCCTTTGGCTCCCTCCGCTGGGAGTAACAGTGTTTATTTATCAAACACCATCCAGCGTACGATGTTTGTAATTCAAACAGTTGACAAACGTTGTAGCGCGTCTATCATAGGCACCATCACACCCAAAGACGTCAGCCCTGGCGGATCTGGCAGCGGGGAGGTATTTTCCTGGCAGCGACTCCGTGGAGGTTGTCTGACCGTGGCTATACGACGACAGGGACGTCGTCCACCGCCAGAGCAAAATGTCAGAGGCTTTGGGGATGTCGGAGGTATCTACACCCGCCGTGGATGCTGGAGCGAGTGAGGAGGTTTGGGAGCCTCTGGAGTGACCTGCTTCCTGTAACCGCCAATTACGAAGTCACGCTGGAAATTTGAGAACCTCAGGGTTGTGGGGCCTTCGAGACATCTCAACCAAGACGTTCTCAAAAATGCCAACCTAATATATTCCTGAACCCTATCCCCACTTCCTCTCGGCGGCAGAACATATAAACATAAGAAAGGCTGGGAACCGAGGAAGCCATCTAGTTAAATTCGCCAGTGCATGCCAAAGGCAGTCTCTTGTGTAGATTTCCTGGGGATAATCCATGATGTCTGGCGACTCCAGTTCTGGCAGACAGCTGTAATGATCCCAATACCTAAAGGAAAACGAGCTTCTGGAAGAAGCAGCTTGCCATCCATCATCTTATATTCGATAAGATAATTCAAGGATATTATTCCTGTATCTCGATGTCGTATGTTCGAGCAAAACGAGTCAGAAAAGAAGACGTAGGAAGTGAAATAAGCGAACCGAAACAGATGCGGACAAAGTCTAGAACTTCATCATACACCAGTGTGGCTTGAATTTTCAGGATGCTCGCACGTTCTGAAGACGAGGTGACCAACGAAAAAAAAAAACGATGCAATCTTCCTTTTCCATCAGTTTTGCTGCGCTTGAGCACTATATACTTTTTTCCTGGGCATAACACCGAAAGTGCAAACCTCTGAAAACGGCAAGAACAAGAAAGAAACCGGAAGAATTACATCGTGTATTCTAACGTCTGCTCATTCATGCGTGACCTAGGCATCGTCTTTTTGTGCGCTTTATGGTTCCATTGTGCCTATGGTAGGTACATCTGCGTTTACTTGCAAAAAGAAAAAAAAATAATGCATTGAACGTTTCGTTGCTGATCACTTACTGTCTCAAAATAAATGTAAGAGGATCCCTGTCCTGTTTGAGGATAGTAGGCATTTCGGGCTTGGGCATAGTAGGCACTAGACAACTACCCAAAATAGGCAACTACAGGGCAAAAGCAGCACTAACTGGAGACTAAAGGGTTGCCGTCCAACAAGGTGACGTTGCAACTAGGTGTACAAAAGAAGCAACCTAAGTGCAGACATGACTGGATAATGGATATCTCTAATGCACGAGAAAAGTAAATGAGGACAGACCTAGAAAAGGCTCGGAAATGCTTGCCTTCTAAGCAAGCTATGTTGGCTTTGAGATTCTCGTTCGAGTTGCATCTGAAGAGCCATCTTTATGACATGAGACTGTCAAATAGACCCCCGGAGTCCAAAGACGCGTATAAACATGTGAGAAAATATTTTACTTTACCTTATATTAAATTATGCAGCTGAAATTTCTAGATAACAAAGTTTTACCCACTAATAAGTACCAATGTTTGCGCACTATTCAGCGCCTACATCTGTAGGGAGCATGATTAAAACAATGAGCAGTGATGATTCCGTTTTAGCTCATAGTTTTGTGTTTCACAATGAATATAAGACGACTTTTTCTTATTTTTTCATTTTTCAAATAGTTGCCGGCTGTCGCGTTGTACAGCACAAAACTGACGCGACTACGTTTACACCAAGGCATAAATCATTTAGGGGATGTAACACGGGTAAACGTCAAGAGGGCGACTAAGGGTATAGCAGTAGGGTCACTCAGATAACCACACGAAAGCAGCGCTTCCAGGAAGGCCAAGGCAACCGAAAATGGACGACTTCTGCTGTGGCACGGAGGCGAGTCTACCCAAACGTGACATCGCAGGACCAACAATCGGCGGCGGGTGGTCTCCAGGTCGACTGGCCTTGTCTTCCGCTTGGGTATTTTACGCATGGCATTGGTGATTACATATGATATGAAAGAAGAATATAATTAAGCACACTAAAGCGTTGCTTTAGCAAGGACAATCGATTCAGATGATTATTATCGATGTAAACTTTTAGCAGCATACCGTGTTTGGTTCGAAGAATCAATAATTTCTTAATTCGAATAAATTGCGATTTTCAATGACAATGATACCCTTGGCAAAATTAAAACAAATTGGCAGGTTGTGTAGACTAAAAAAAAGCAAATTCGTCTCCAAAGTATAGCGCCACATATCATTACGGAGACCACCCGGCGTCGTTGATTGGTCACCGGACGTGTGACCTTGACCGGGTCACGACCTTGAGCTGGACCGCCGTCTGCGTCATCACCGTGGATCATCTTGTATACGGCCGACGAGTTGGGCTTCCACGGCTGGGGTTCGTAGCGTTTGAAGTTGACGCTGTATGAACGTGGTACAATGGGTTCAGCCGAGGTAAACAGTGATGACATGGTTTGGGTTGTTCATGTGTTGCGGGTGCAGGTTAAATGGTGGTGTTTGAACTAACATATAGCACTTTATTATCAATGAATAATTTACGTAGAACGAGAAACAAGTCCTTAAAATCTATGTGAAATAATGGAACAAACATTGTCTTAAAATCATCTTTTTATCTGAACTTTTATTGTTTTATTCTATCTGAACTTGTTCAGAAAACATAATCAATATAGTACACCAGTAAAGATTACGTCATTTGAATACAATGCATAAACAGTGAAGTAAGCATGGCAGGGAGAGACTTCAAAGTCCTCTCGCACTGAAACAGCACCAATGTTTGAAGTTGACGCTATATGAACGTTTTGTATACTGGTCAAGCAATATACATTGAAAAGGGCAATATTGATATGCAGTCATCGTTTGTTCCTATTAGCCCCTACCCAATTCTACCCGATTCTACCGTCTGATTCTACTCACCCCAGCGCTCCACCGGCCAGCACCTCTGTCTGCGCGGACAGGGTCTCTGCGATCTTCTCTTCCGAGTAGAGTGGCATCGGCGAGTTGAACTGGTTGTGAACCAGCGCCTTCACCGAACCGTCCGCAGTGTCCACGTTCTGGGGGTTGACAATAGATGTCAGCACTGTCTACAATATGTCAGTATGGTCGATAATAGATGTCAGCACTGTCTACAATATATGTCAGTATGGTCGACAATAGATGTCAGCACTGTCTACAATGTATGTCAGTATGGTCGACAATAGATGTCAGCTAGGTTGACAGTAGATGTCAGTGTGGTCGACAGAAGACATCAGTGTAGTCTACAATATATTTCAGTGTGGTCTGCAATAGATGTCAGATCGGTCTCCCATGAATGTCATTGCGGTCTACAATATATGCCAGTACGGTCTACAATAGATATCAGTACGGTCTACAATAGATGTCAGTACGGTCTACAATAGATGTCAGTACGGTCTACAGCATATGTCAGTACGGTCTACAATAGATAGCAGTACGGTCTACAATAGATGTAGTGTGTTCTACAACAGATGTCATGTTGATCAACGATAGATAGTCTACAAAAGATGACAGGACGGTCCTCACTAGACGTCAGTACAGTCTACAATAGATGTCAGTGTAAGTCAACAATAGACGCTAGCACAATTGACAACAGATGTGTCAATTCTGTCGACAAAAGATATTGTTTGATGATAAGGTGTCCGCGTGATAGCCATAGGTGCTCACTTCATAGGTATACTGAAAATAGAACTGTAGCTCGGGCTTTTTAAAATGCAAAAATGAACAAGGTGCGATCGATATCATTATTATCATATATGCAAACAGGTATAATATCCAGTGCACACTTTGGATATAACTATTTGAAGTATGATACATAATAGGGCAACCGGAAGTGGTTAGTGTTTGTAAGTAAGGAAGAAAGTAAGAGAGTAATGTTTGGAAGAGTAAGAGTTCGGTAATGTTTTATGAATGCTGGGATTGAGAACGGTAACAAAACACAGCATCACCGCCATACATTGGTGAGGAGGATATTTACTATTTACCATTACACTGAACAGTGAATACCTCATCCGGCCAACTTAGCAAAAAATCCGGAACATTACCAGTTTCTGGATCAAACCAACACAGGGGACTGCTGTAGTTCAGCATCACAAATCCCGATTGTATCTGCGCCAAACTAACACAGAGAACGCCTGTTTGTATGTTTGTGCGTCGCTTTGATGACCTCTTGCGATACCCCGGATTTGGCTGCTAAGAGAAACTTCAGCCACGAATAAACGGTTCACTCATGTTGTTTTCTAGGAATTCGAGCTAGAATGCGCTGTTTCGACTGATACGCGTGTAGGTACGCATGAAGGGAGCTAGTTAGGTAGGTACAGTATGCACGCTAAAATGCATTTTTGGTTACTACAATTCTGGTTACCGTAAGCAATTATCGTACTTACCATAGGCATTGGAAAAGTTTCATACCGAAACACACAATCGTCAGGTGTCATGCAGTAAAAAACTTGTTTATCAGAAAGGTTATCAAGATAATAAGAGTTGCCGACGTATCGGAACTAAGAATCCACACATTCAGAAACCAGAAATTGACACCACAAAAAAATATGTGGTAGCCTGAAGAGAAGAGATACGCCGAATGTTTCTGAAGATATTAGAGAAGAAAAGACAAGCAGCGATAGAACAATGACAGGAAAGGTCTCGAATACCACACCACACAGAAAACAGCGCCGATGGCGCCGCCACGCGGCGACCTAGTGAAACACACGTCATTGAGCTGACCTTGATGACCCTGAACGGGTTCCTGTTTCTCGGCGGCTGGGTCGGCTGTAAGAGCGGTCAGCCAATCAGAACGGGTGCACAAAGCCAGCGACCAATCAGAGCTCAGGACAGGTCAGACAGGCAGCCAATGAGGGTGGGTGTACAGAACCAGCGACCAATGAGCGTTCAGAGCTGGTTAGATAAACGAACGACATGTAGCCAAATAGGTATCATCGTTCCGTTCATTTATGTCTGTCTTTTTGGCGGGTTCAGGAGGAATGGCTGCCGATCAAACAAGCCCTGAACAATGATGACGTAAGCAGCTGACGTCACAGACACACAATGGCGGGTTGGGTGCCGTCACGTACGAGAGAAAAAGTGAACTTGATCGTTAATCATCCATGGATATTCTAATAAAAAAAACAATTATCATCGGTTTTTAGAACACATATCTAGGCATGAAATTAAACAAAACGGCATCAAAATGAAAGCAACTATCCGCTTCCAAATGCATGATTAAATCAGGGAGGACATTTTGCTTTCTAAATACACTACCAAGCAACAGTGATTACAGCTAAATCGGCTAAGCCATTTGACGCACACAAGACAACAACAAAAAGGGGCGGGTGATAACTCTAGGTCGGAGACTAGGTTCTAGGTAGTCTAGTCTAGGGGCAGAAGAGACTACAAAATACACACTCACTATCCAATTCACACAAGCACAAGCATACGCAACGTATCTGCAGGAACTTTCAACCTCACGAAAAGCTGCTATCAAGTCCCCATGCCAAATGCTGTCTGCTATAAAGTGCTTAGCGAAATCATAAGATCATCCGAGTAAACTGGATTGGATCAGGAAATCCATAAAATCACCTCCCGGCGCAACGTCGCATTGCTGGATACAAGGCTAATGAAGTCGTCACATGTTGGAAATGCCTACTGGACAAAACAGAGCCAGGACGAAGGATCCCGACCTCGAACTGCTCGAGGGATCCGCCTATTCCGCACGCCAACTGCATAAATCTGGCACTCAGTTTTAGCAGCAATATAAAAAAGGAAAGGTAGGCACCGTTGAAGATCTAAGAGGGACATGACTCCTTTCTCACATGCTAACCCAACCTACTAACTACAAGCGATTATAACACTTCTGAAGAAATGCAACGAGCACTGAAGAAAGTAGCTCCCCTGGGTGCAGTGCATAGAACTTAGAAGTTTAAATATTTCCTGCATGAAATACTAATACTATGTATATCTGAATCAGCCTCCATGCGTGCGAAGAGTCCACCGAATACCAACAACCACTGAATGAAAACATGCTTCCAAAAACCCTCCAAGCTCCGCTAGCGGGAATGTTTCGACTTTTTACGACCTCATATTACGTCACTAACTGCCTCACATGACGTCACTAAGTATCGTACCATGTGCACGGGAGTTTGCGGCTTGTTCTCCTGTTTCTGCTGCGGCTGAGCTCCAGGCCGCGTACCGGAACTGTCCGTAGAGTCCTATACAAAGTGTACATATGAGGACCACCTCTCTCACACACACACACACACACACACACACATACACACTAACACACACACGAACGGACGACGCTAATAGTAAACATGAGGACCACCTCTCTCTCTCTCACACACACACACACACACATACTGACACAAACACGAACGCAAACGCAATCACACGCAGGTAGCGTCTGTTCTGTATTGAGCTAGCTGTGATGCGATCCATAAGCAGCGGTAACATGAAGTTGAAGCCAGTACGGAGCTGGTGCAATTTACCAGGAACCGGAGCCATTGAAAAACGTACGTAACCAGAGGTCATAGAGTAAAAAATAACGCTTCTTGGGATCCGTAAAACGTAGTAATTTCATCTTCACGTCCGATAAAATCATGACATATGTATGTGCCAGCTTATCAAATAAAAATTACTCACAAATTGTGTGCTTAGAACTTAACGAAATTATCATCATCATGAACTGAAGAAGTAAACGAACTCATTCAGCTTCGCCTGATGAATCATAAATGTTTTAAGTACTCACTTAACCCATGCATGATCAAACTTAGAAATTATCTTGTGATGTGGCCTTTCTCCTGAATTGTGACCGAAGCCGTGCTCCCACATGTGACCTGAACTGCGACCTAAACATTGACCTGTGACCTGACCTACCTTGGGTACAGGCTGCTGCTGGGCGGCACCCGGCGGGCGGAGCGAGGCCAGACCTCCCCTGGAACACGCCAAACACGCCGTCAATGAATGAATGAATGAATGAATGAATGAATGAATGAATGAATGAATGAATGAAATAACTAATGAATGAATGGATGAATGAATGAGCGAATGTATGGATAAATGAATGGGTGAATGTATGAAAGAATGACCGAAGAAACAACCGAATGAATGAATGAATGAATGAATGAATGAATGAATTGCTGAACGAAATATGTTCAAGGGGCAAGAATGTTAAGTTCATTTTTGCCCATTACCTGATCGTATTCTCCACATAACCTGCCGTTTTCTGCCTGTCAGCCAAGAAAAGACTGGTGTTCATTGCAGTCCGATTATAAGCAGAAAAAAGTGGATAAGACTAAATGATGACAGGGTGATTGAAATGCCATTGAAGTGATTAATTGGTCTTTAGTGAATGTGGTTAATCAACTGATGACTGACTGAAGAGTAAATGTTTGAGGTGCTTGACTGACAAATGTTGCTGATGGTTTTGTGAACATCAATTTCAGCTTTAATTGTTGTTGATTAACGAGGTTATGTGATTGCAGATTCAATTGTTATTGATTGACGATGGAATGTGATTGACAGGTGGCCCGACAGCGGTAAGACAATAAACAAACCTCACGATAAACAAACACCACTGACTGGCCAGCAGACGGGGCGAAACGGCAACAAACAGTGATCACACATCATCAACAAACACCGATAACACATCACGTCAGCGTCAGCTGTGAAAACGGCAGTTAGAGGGGAGGCTTACACAGCCAGGTCACAGACAGATGCTGTGCCGGCCATGGGAGCGCACTGGCTTTCACAAAATTTCAGTGGTTGCATGATGCCAGTAATGTAATGTGTCTTGCATAACTGAGGATATATAGAAGAGACGCTAGCCAAACAACCTATGCCGCCTATCAACTCTGGTTTTCCATTCAGCCTGCCGTGGCGTCCGTGACATATGTCTAATATCGTGTGTTGGCCCTCGACAGTCACAGTCAGCTGACTCCTGACATATGACGTCATATGTCAGTCAGGCGAACTGTCAACTAGCTGACCCCGATACCAGACTATGTGGTTCTGTCGCCTAAGGACAAACCTCGAGCTAAGCGAGATTTTTTACAGGACAGCTGATAGAATACAGATCAGCAGAACGAACGATTCATGGAAACGATGATCGATTATTTTACTTTTGAAGCGTTAGAATATGTATGATAAATAGTAAAACTGCTCTTCTGCTTATGCGTCCTTATTTCCTCTGTATTATCTCACAAAATACCTGACGATGATCGGCAGGTAATACTTTATTAGAAAATCGACGGATTACTTTTAAAGTGAGATGGTTACGACATACATAGATGGTGGAAATGGATCAAACGGAACTTATTTGAAGGAAACAAAATGAAAAGGAAGAGTGTAAATAAATTCGCAATATGAAAAGTAACCATGTAAATAAAATGGACAACATGGATTTTTAAAATAATCATCAAATATGTTTTCATTGACTTAAAAAACCATTGCAAATAGTTGGCTGAGGAATATTGACACCAACCAATGTAATAAAGCCCGGATAACTTCCGCTCAGCCCCAGCGATCATCCCCACACACTTTGCTGAGCAGTGAATACACCAACCAATGCAAAGCCCGCTAAGAATCATTCCATCTCACCCCGGCTTTTATTCCCCCCCCCCCCCCCAACTCACTCATCCTCATGGTGAGAAGGTGGCGGAGTGGGCGGCTGTGGCGGCGGAGGAGAGGGTCCACAGGGGCCCGCCGCCCGGGGCCTCGCTGGGCCCTGCTGGGGGCGGTACCGGTCCCTCACACTCAGATGGCACGGGAACTTCATGGCGCGTCACACACGTTTCACTCTGGCTGTTTCCGTCCGGGCTTTCGTCTTTTTATGAGAGTTTTTATGCAATATTTATAATCCGGGCTGAGGCTTCCTGGTGTAAGGGATGCACCAGTTTCCAACAACTACGCCAAATCCAGGTTGCGTCCTTTTGCGTCTTTCTCTTCAACACTCCTCGCTATGTTTCCAGGTGATTTTTTTTCGACGTTTGTCCCACTCACTCTCACTCCCCGTCCCCCTCCCCGCTGGGGTTGAGACCCCTATCAATGACCTTTGACCCCACACTCGCTCAGCCGCCTGCCTTCCAACACCTCTGGGCAAAGACTGCCGCCGTCAGATGGTGGGGCGGTGTCGACAGTGACCCCCCCCCCCCTGCCCCCCCCCCTCTGGCCAGGGCAGGTGACATAAGGTCGTCTCTGAAACGCTGCCAAAACGGCGCGGCGGAGACGTCTGGCCAGCGGAAATGGTGATTTGGTGGGATGTACTGCCGACTGCCAACGAAAATTCACTCGGATGGACGCGGCGGCGGCGGCGGCGGTGGCGGCGAAAGGGGGACGAGGAGGCTGCTGGTGGGTGGTGGTGGTGGTGGTGGTGGTTGGTGAAAGTAGTGGCGAAAGAGGGGGGGGGGAGAACGCAACCACCATGGCGGTGACGGCGACGGCTCTGGTATATGTATGATAAATTAAGTTCGGCCCTCCAGGTATTAAGTGGTTTGTTGCCGGCATCACAATAATCGGTCTGCATTGATGAATACCTCTAAGGGCTGTTAAAAATATGTTGCGGAAGGGTCCGCACGCAACCTCATCTCATTTCTATTATGTCATTTTACTGGAGTGTATGTCTCATTGTCTCATTCAAAGCCGCTTTCCCAAAAACACATCAGCTGACCAACCACTCTTTTGCTGAGGGGGGGGGGGTCTGTACATTTACCAGAGTGCCACAACCGGACACTTTCTCTGTTTATCAGCCGTTCCACTTTTAATGGCACAATCCGGCTGACGGTTCTCATGCCAAATGCCCTATTGTTTATGACTTTGTTATTTGCACCAAATTGTAGAGATTATTCAGAGCTCATACATTATAATTCAACGGCAGTGTGTGAAAGAAAGATATCGTGGAAATAGTTAGAGTGCCTAGCAAAGAAATGTTCGGTAATGTAACGAAACCATATATAGCTAAATAAAAAAAAAACTCAAAAGATCATGATAAAAGTAAAAGAGAAAACTTTTCACTAGTTCGCCCACCAAAAACTGTTGGGTAGATCTTCCCCTTGGATTTACATGGTGCCGGAAGGGAGACTGGCGTTTATCTCGAGTCGCGACAGAGAGAAGCTTGTCCGCCGGTGTAGGTTCGGATTCTGGCCAGGGCTGTGGTAACGTATTTCAGACGGCGCTGGGTCGTGATGAAGTGGTTTAGCTTGTACGGAAGCTGTCAAAGCGTTAAATTTGTTAGTCTTGGAGCAATGTTAGTTGTGCTGCAGCACAAAGATGCATTGATCATGATTTTGCAACATTGAATCTTTTGGGCGGCATTTATTTCATGCGGCAGCAGCAGCAACAGTATTATTTTATGCGGCAGCGGCATTGCGGTGGTTCAACTACAAATCACTGGTCTCGGGGCATTCATTACCTAATTTTTAATAAAAAAACGTATTTAGCTTAGAATGGAATTCAGGCAGGAAGGAATTCATAACCGATACCGTCAATTCTGAAAATGACACCGACTTGTATCTGTGCCTACTGTTCAGCCACTGCAGACCTTCTTAGTTATGTCCCACTCATGTGTTTAAATAGTGACATAGCCTGCGTAGTCAGTAGAGTGCGTTTCAAACGTTGAAACGTGATGACAGGTGCAGCCATATCGAAAAGAAACTATACTCCGAGGTGTCTGGCTGGATGCTTTAGGTCAGGAGATTGGATAACGTGTTTCAACCTTGACGGCACATTCTAATGCGTTTTCATAATTTAATGTCAGGGTAAGCGAAAGGAAATTAAAATTAACTTTTCTGTCGTGACTTCACTGCCCTGATAGGCAATGGTTTCCCTCGCAACTTCTCTTGATCCACCTGATTTACATTGACCATACTGCTCACTGACGAATCAAAAAAAAAAAGCAATCGGGTCGTTTTTCTCCCTCGCGGTGTCCGACATTGACGAAATCACGCCGTTTTCCTTGCATATCTTATACCTTTGCCTGAGGAAAACTAAACTCATAGGTAGGTTTGTTTGTTTTGTTTTGTTGGTTTAGGCCCTTTCGGTCTGACAAGACCATTTCAGAGCCGGAAGGATGATAGGAATTAGGGGGAGACATTGGTCTGGGCAGGCACCCTAGAGAGTCGCCGGGGCTGAGCCCGTCCAAATGGACAGGCCGACCAGCCCCCCAAGCACTCTCTGCACCCGGCTACGGGGTGCAGCTCCCTCGGGAGCAGCGGTGCCGCTCCAAGGGAGCAGCCCGCATGAGATAAAGTTGCCTGTCCAGCCCGGAGGGGGGTTGCGGCGCTGGGGAGAAGGATTTCAGTATCCTGAGGATAGAAGTGCACGGAACGGTGTCATAGGTAGGCATTTCAAAAAGCTTGAATCTAGCTGCACGGGAAGGAGGAAGCCAGAAGCGAAGGAAGTGAGTTTCCAATTAAAAAGGACATTCTGGGAGCATGTCTCCTCCCCGTGCAACGTCATAAACCACTGATCTGGACCCGCCCCTGCGATTGCCAGTTGTCACTGCTACTGCCACTAACCGACCGATCGGTCTTCAGCACTGGAGCGCTGCCAGCCCGCTATACTAGCGCCACGGAGTGGTAGAAAGCGGAACTGAGGGTTACCGGCTTACGCTATAGATGACAGGCTGGCTTGGTCGGGTTCATTGGTTCATTGGTCCACACTCCACATGCGGCCACCTGCCGTTTTTGACTGTCCAGTGTGATTCCATCGCCCATCATTTGCCATCCACCTCCCATTTTCACCATTCATCGCCCATTACTCAAAATTCATCGTCCAACACCCACTGCCCACCGTCCACCGCTTTACCCCCCCCCCCGACCCAGCCCTATCACAGTCAGAAATAGCGCACTGTGCGGCCAGTGACTATAAATACATGGCACAAATACCAACACGGCTCCCTGAGGACGGCGCCACGGATGGGTGACGCACAGTGGGACCGACGGTACCGACAGGTGGCGAAAAACTGTGACAGGAAACAGGAGCAAACACCGAGAGGGGGAGGCTAAGTGGCGGACTAAAAACACGCAGGTGTTTTCCATAGGCAGCGGAACGAGGGGGCAGCGGGGCACCGTACCCCCTTTAATCTTGGCATCTAAATATTAGCCCTATGGGCGTTGCATGGAAATAATGGGACCAAAAGTCGGCAGTGCCCCCCCCCCCCCCCCCGCCTTCATCGAAAGTGTTCCGCCACCACTAGTGTTTCTGCTGTTAGGGATGCGCAGGGGAATGTTATGAAATCAGACTCAGAAAATGAAAAAAGATAATGGTATGCAAAATATCTGGTAACCGTATTCATCGCTGGGAGTTTCAAAGCAATCGTTCGCTCGACCTGGCTATCGCTAGCATTTAGTTACATTTTTCGTGAGGTGAGGTCATTTGACGCAATCCGATGACCTCCCGGCCTTCAATAAGGCACCAGAGTTGATCTTTTCACAATTGCAAAAAAAATAAGCTTTAAAAGGTGTGCCAGGAACGGTGGCGCGTGGCACAACCCCATTGAGACTGCAAAAGACTGAGTGCGCGTAAAGGCTACGGGAGTAAATGCTACGTCTTGTGCCATGTTTGTCCTAGACATCAGGTGCCCATATCCAACCACCAATCACCGTTCACCACCCATCCATATCCTCCAATCAGCGTTCAGCATCGATTCCTATCCACCAATCACCGTACAGCTTTCATCCCCACCAGCCAATCAGAGCTCAGTACTAGACGCTGAACGCTGATCCACCAATCAGCGTTCAGCACCCACCCCATCCGCCAATCAGCGTTCAGCACCTACCCCTACCCACCAATCACCGCTCAGCTCTCAACCCCACGGCCAATCAACGTTCAGCACCCATTGCAATCCGCCAATCAGCTGACCCACCTCTGCACCTCCATGCTGATGGCGTTGCCGGAGTGGATGATGGCGTCCTGACACTCCTTGTGACGCATTTCGATGGCGTTCTGGCCGCCGATACTGATGACGGCGTCACCGGCCCGCAGACCGGCCTTCTCGGCCGGACTGCCGGCGTTCACCTGAAGTAGGGGTTACAGGGGTCAGCGGTAGGTGGCAGCACTAAGCACCGACCCACAGACCGGCCTTTTCAGCCGGACTGCCGGCGTTCACCTGAAGTAGGAGTTACATGGGTTAGCGACAGATGGCAGCACAGTGCCTCATCGGCCGGACTGCCGGTGTTCACCTGAAGTAAGAGTTACATGGGTTAACGATAGGTGGCAGCACTGAAAACAGTACACAGACCGGCCTTCTCGGCCGGACTACCTGCGTTCACCTGAAATACGAGTTACAGGAGTTAGCGATAGATGGCAGCACAGTGCCTTCTCGGCGGGACTGCCGGCGTTCACCTGAGGTAGGACTTACAGGGGTCAGCGATAGGTGGCAGCACTGAAAATGCATTTACAAAATGCAACGGACTCTTTCGACTTTCCGGAAAGTAGGAAGGGACAAAATAAATGGGAGAGCTGCTTTCCTGTGTCATATACGATCCAGATTTTCTCCACTGCCGTCTCATCATACATTCATACATAGTGCATTTGCCTCGCGCCTCGTGGTATTATACATCATTTCCTGTCGTCTGCCGCTTGCATGATCATGTTCTTATGTCAGCGGTTGAAGCCACTTCAATTGTCTCAAATAACACGCGAGCATTCCTTAGTTATCAGCTACACTCTCCCAACTATCACACCGTTTGAACCTGACACGTTGAAGTTATCAGAGACACCGCCACGATCAATTACTATCTCACTCTCCTCCCCTGTTCCCCCTCTCTCTCTCTCTCTCCTCTCTCTCTCTCTCTCTCTCTCTCTCTCTTCTCTCTCTCTCTCTCTCTCTCTCTCTCTCTCTCTCTCTCTCTCTCTCTCTCTCTCTCTCTCTCTCTCCACTCTGCACCCTGTTGGCGCTGTCAGTGATCCATCCATTTCGGCCTATGTCAACATTAGCGGTGGCATTCACCCGACCCACATCTGATTTCAGGAAACAGCTCTTCGACTGTGGCACGTGCCGACTGCCGAGTCTGTACTGGTGCCCAAACTTGCGCCCAAACTTGCGCCCTTCTTACACGTGCTATCGGTTCGGTGAGCGGTTTGTGACGGGTGGTTTCCCCCTGTGGACTTTTGATTATTTAAAGCTCGAATTGCAATGAGTGGTGGTGGTTTGAGTGTTGGCAACGAATGACATTTGTTGCTCTATGTGGTAGAGGTGGACAGTATCAAATGACAGCATCTTGATACTGTCAAGTGGCGGTGATATTTGCTGATGCCTGATAACTGCGGGAAAATTTGTGATAATTGTGAACCGGTAGGCAGAATTTTACAAACAGATGCTTAAGAATATTGCATCTTAAGTATTTACTTATGAATCTAACCTGGAAAATTATAGGTATGTATGCTGCGTAAGAAAGGATCTGTTACGAACGAACTAACAATATATAAAATACGTGACCAGCATAACAACACTTTTAGATCGTCATATATTTATTCCAGTCAAGTGTCCAGTGTCCGGTCGGTACTCATATGGTCTGATAGAGACAGCACTGAGCACACCATTGCAGTTGCAGTGTCCTTCACTGCAGTGCTGCAAACCACAGCAGCAGCCAGCGACACCTTATCATTACCACCTGCTCGAATGTTTGCTGTCAATAGATGTCCTGTGTACTTGGCTCTTAGGACAGTGTCAGCATTTCAATCAGTCGCCTGATGATAGACTTGTTTATCGATGGCTTAGGGGACGTTTGAATGGTCAAGCGCTATTTGTTCGTAGTAGGTATCGACTGTGCAGGCACATAGATCAGCAAGTGACGATGAGTATAGGCTGCTCCCTCATCCATTCATGTTAGGTCTCATATTGTCAGCTTTCTCCCTCATCTGTCTGTCTGTCTGTCTGTCTGTCTGTCTGTCTGTCTGTCTGTCTGTCTCTCTCTCTCTCTCTCTCTCTCCTCTCTCTCTCTCTCTCTCTCTCTCTCTCTCTCTCTCTCTCTCTCTCTCTCCTCTCTCTCTCTCTCTCTCTCTCTCCTCTCTCTCTCTCTCTCTCTCTCTCTCTCTCTCTCTCTCTCTCTCTCTCTCTCTCTCTCTCTCTCTCTCTCTCTCTCTCTCTCTCTCTCTCTCTCTCTCCATCCGCACAATAACACACTCCTCAGCTACCTCTCACCACGGTCTTCGCTAGGCGTGCGCCAATACTAACAATGCACAGCGGCTCGGCTAGGGTCAGGGTCGAACTGAGCGTCTTCAGCAGTTTGGACTGGGGATTACTGGCTGATGAGGATGGGATTGGGCTGAGTGGGACAGATTCTGGTGCGGAGGCTGGAAAGGAGAAGTAATAAGTGAGATGGTAAGTAGGAAAAGCAATGGGAACGTGTTTTTTTCATTATTTTAGTTAAAAAAACATTCCGATTGGCTTTCCTATTCATATCAATGCGTCCCATGTAATAAAAATAAGTGGGTTGGTGGGAAGCTGGAACGGAATTTGATGGGGAGGTAAGGTTGAACTTGCACTGCCCACTGGTGTTGGTGATAAGGAAACTGGTGCGGTGCTGATGTAAAACAGTCTGAGGGGACGGGCGGTGGCCTCGGGCTGGTGTTGTTGGGGGATTGGTGTGGAGGACAGAACAAAATATGGTGATGAGGCTGGTGACAGAATGGTGGTGTGTTAGGCTGGGGTAGAGAATGGTGGTGTAAGGTGTGAAGGCGGAGTGGAAGAGGCGGAAAAGGTGGTTGTAGATGGGCTGGATATATGATTCATGAACCATCTTGAGCATAAAGTTCAGATTTCAGACGCTCCGAATCATCCAGGCTATATGCTCTAGATCCAAGAGAACCAGGACAAGAAAATGCCGAAGAAAAACGGAACAGGTCACAAAGGAACTGGAAGTCATGAAAAGCTGTTACGTTATGACAATGAAAACGCTTTAGAGTCTCGTTGGTCGTCTTTCGCTGGTCACATCGGTCACATCCATGTCAAGGTGTCCGTGTCTCAGTGTGTCAAGGTGTCAATATGTTAACGCGACACCTGAATTAAAGAAGGCGCTACCGCTTACGCACTCGTCGTGTGATAGATTCAATGGCGAGGTTGTGATAATTACCATTCTCATCTAGCCTTCATTATCTCATCGGCCACTTACAGTTCACAATGTCTTTGTAGCAGTGACATTTTCTATACGGAGCTTTGGTGAAAGGAATAGTGGGCATTGTGATGATACTAGACAGGAAACAAGAAGTAGGGCAGCGATACAAGCTTCGTCTTCAGTGGAGCTGCTTAAAAGTGGTTGGCTGAATTGCCTAGTACATATATAGCAGAGATTGCGATTGCGAAAACTACTTACTAAAAGTGCGCAATGAAAGCTATCAATCTGACTGTGCTGTGTTGTCAGCTGTCTGTTATCCTTATAACTCACAAATGTACTAATTAATTGTGCACATGATAGAACGAAATTGTGCGTAGTCGCACATCACACATGTGTGTTTTGAACATCACAAACGTGCTAACACATGGCTCACATATTATGCAGGCGCGGCGTCACGGGTTTTATCCAGGTGAGGGGCAAAGCTTCCCCCGGGGGCCCCACACCAGGCCCAGGGGGCCTCCCAGCAGTGCAGAGGGGCCTTTATGGAGCTGGGCTGGTGTCGAACAGGACTGAGGGGGCGGAGCGAGCCGTGTTGGTGTTTAGTGGGCTGGTGTTGAGCATGGAACGGAATACGGCTTATCATGAAGAAATCAAAGTTTGGCCCGGACAGTCAAGGGGACTCTTTCAGCCTCCAATATTCGTATTACGGCCTTCTCTGAGGGGAAATTTATATCGATGTTTCCTTTCCTCATGCTGACAAGGGCCTCTCGACACGTGGGTTCTCGGCCTCTCTTGACTGCCTCAGTAAGTACAGGGCGATGGAACCTCATTCTAACTATACAGAGAGCTTCCTTCTCCGGTATTTTAGAGCTGACATTTCAGGAATGGAAAAGGTCTGATGAAGAACTTTTACATTGGGCAAAAGGCTCTCCGTAACTACAGCTAGGGTAAAAAGACATGTTTACCCCCTGTTCTGCGCCAGTGGGGGGAGGCTGTCCCTTCAGCTTCCCCCCCCCCCAGTGACGCCGCCCCCTACTGACATATATGTATGTGTCATTAAACACCACATAACACACCACAAGCCCACGTCACCTTCCATATAAGGAGTGAATCCATACCGTCCTCCGTGGTGTTTAACAGTGCCGACTCATGTCGTTTATAGCTATCACCCTGGGGTGCTATGGCAGTGCAACCCTGTTTACATAGTGTGCAATGGTGCGCGCGCGTGTGTGTGTGTTTATCCGATACAAACCGAGGACCGCGCTACAAAGTCAGGACCGCCGACGCCGTATTGCGACTGGTGCCGCGGGGAGCGGTGCGAATAGTGATCGTGTGTGCGTTGATCATGCATAGTATGAATGGACAAATATAGACGTTACATTTTGATATGAGCTGTGAAGGTATGTGCATGATGTGCGTCGCACAATGTTGCCGGTCAAATAACGTGGTTACCTACGAAATGTGGAATTCAAACGCATACATGCGCCTGTTGCTTCTGTTGATATATATGGGTATAGTCACTCCCAGTAAAAGTGCACATTTTAAATCGGGCACCTGCTGCTAACACTTCTCGCTAAGATGAAATGCATTTAAAAGTTTATCGGCATAAAGTCTTTGGTTTCAGGGAACCATTTCTGACAAGGGTACCTAATACCTATCTCACATTCCGCGTTTTTTTATGCAACATCTGCACTAGTTAACGTGCTGAATATTACCTTGCAGGTACTCACAGATTTTGACCCATATCCACCCTCTGCTCCAAAACATTACCAACGCGACCCAATCGCACTCATACCCAACCCCCCTCCCCCCCGCAGCATACCACCCCGGGCTGCATGCACGTGTTAGCACTGAGCGGCTGCATTGGGTAGTATCAACAAACCTCGCCTCACGAGACATGTGAAACGGCCTTTAGCAGAGGCAGATTCAGAGAGAGGGGAGAAAGAGAGAGAGAGAGAG